CCGGACCCGGGGGTAAGGCCACGTGCCCCAGTGGAGACCGTCCCCCACCCCAACCGCAGCTCCCGGTATGCATCCTAAGCCATTCAGGAACCCATGTGACCACACCCCCCTGACCCAAGTGGCGCCTGTGTGTCCCCTTCTCCCCACCACCCCTTTGCTGACTTGGCCACCCACATACCCGGCCCTTGAAGGAGCAGGGACGCAGGCCAGTTAAGAACGCAGGCGACAGAGTGGTTGCCTTACCCGTTTCTGAGTCTCGAGTGGGATGAAAACCACCTTTGAAACGATACCCTCCGCATCCTTGACATTTACTTCTGATTTGTCTCTCCTCTGGTGCACACTTTCAAGTAATCCCTCGAGTGCCCTTTTGCAAGATGGGTAAGCTCGCGCTGTGGCTTCTGAGTCTTTCCTGTCTGATTGGCGTGTGACCCTTCTTCCCTGTCTTCTGTGACCCTACCCTATCATTTGGGTTTCCAGCAAGGCTTGGGATGATTTTCATTCTTTTGTAAGTACCTAGGGGATATAGATGTGCACACCACAGGGGTGTTTGAATAATTTCTTAGCCTGCTGATGGAAATGAAAACGTAACCAATACGGATTTCCTGTCACTCAGTCTGTCTGGAGCACAGTAGGCCCTTAGATCCGCACTTCTTTTTTCATTTTTGGGAAAGTTTTCTTTGGCAGCTGCTTTGAGTAGAGCTCCCACTGTATCTCTTAAAGTGATCTCTAAGCCTTAGGTTGTACATCTATTTTCTGATTCTCACAACTAGTCACTTCCTTTATCATTTTTAGCTCTTAATCCCTTTCCTAGGACTTTTGAGAGATTTTCCAATCTACCTGGTTTTCTGGGACACTTCTGGTCTTTATTATCTCTATTGAGATTTAACCCTTGCTGCTGCATTCACATTTTTAACAATTCAAGGCTTGGGAATGTAGCTTGATGTTGCAGTATTTCCCTAGTACGCTTGAGGCATTGGGTTTGATCACCACTACAAAAGAAGAAAGAAAGGGAGGGAAGGAAGAAAAGGTAGGAGGGAGAGACAGAAGGAAGGAAAAAAGAAAGAAAGAAAGAAAGAAAGAAAGAAAGAAAGAAAGAAAGAAAGAAAGAAAGAAAAAAGGCAAGCCTGTAACCCCAGCACTTGGGAAGTGGAGGCAGGAGTGTAAGCATTTGGGCTGATCGGATGGGACAGGTATTCTGGCACTCGGGAGTCACAGAATACTGAGTATTGCACAGCTCAGATGGAACGATATCCTGGAGCTCGGGAGCCAGGGAATACCACAGGTCACAGTAAGCGCAGCAGCTTACAGCCCTGTTTCAGGGGAGGCTTCCCCGGTTTATCAGCTCTGCTCTAGCAGGAAAGGGGTTCCTCAGCGAAGTTGTTACAGTTCAGCTCTAGTTCCCCGGAGAGCGAAGTGTAACAACTCCGCTCTGTCAGGGGAAGTTTTCCTCTAACAGAAGTGTTACAGCAGTGCTTACTATTCTCTGCCACTCTGCTCTGCCCAGGGTCGTCTCTGCTCTGCAGCAAAAGAAGGTCTTCATCCAAAGTTTGTCCAAGGGGTTTATTGGGAGGGAAGAATCCGGAAGGACCATGCACAAGCTGAACAGACATGGGGTTTATATAGAGATTCTTAGGCAGTGGAGTTTTTCCAGGGGGGTGGGGGATGGGGATTGGTCAGATTTCAATCCCTGAACTCAGATTGGCTAGATCTCATGTTCAGGGATTGGCTAGTTTTCTGCACAGGCTTGGGGTCAGACTTGGCTCTGGTTTCAGGGCCAAAGTGTGTTTCTTTCACTGGTCCTTTATAGCCTTTTGGCTCTAGTTTCAGGGCCAGGGTGTATTTCTTTCACTGACTCTGATTCCAGGGACAAAGTGTGTTTCTTTGGCACTGGTTTCAGGGTTTTGGTTCTGGTTGCAGCGCCAAAGTGTGTTTCTTTGGCTCTGCTCAGGGTGTGTTTCTTTGGCTGGCCCTTTTTCCCTACAAGGAGGATCAGGAGTTCAAGGTCATTCTCAGCTATATAGTGAATCTGAGCTCAGCCTGAGCTACATGAAATTTTGTCTCAAAGACTTAAAGTATGGTCAGGTATCAGGGGAGGGTGGTGGTGGTGGTGGTGGTGGTGGTGGCACATGCCTTTAATTCCGGCACTCAGGAGGCAGAGGAAGGCAGATTTCTGTGAGTTTGAGACCAGCCTGGTCTACAAAGCTACACAGAGAAACCCTGTCTCGAAAAAACAAAAACAAAAAAAAAAAAAAAACAAGGTATGGTCAGGCATGATAGTACATGCCTTTAATCCTAGCATGTGAGAGACAGACAGATCTCTGTGTATTGTCATATTTTTTTCTTCTCATGACTATTTCTATAAAACCCCTTTAATGTGTATTATGTATATGCAGGGCCTTTATTTTTCATTATTTTGTGTTTATGGGTGTTTTGTCTGCATGCATGTCTGTATACCATGTTCATGTCTAGTAGCAGCAGAGGCCAGAAGAGGGCACTGGATCCCCAGGAACTGGAGTTAAAGACAGTTGTGAGCTGCCATATGGATGCTGGGAATGGAAGCCAGGACCTCTGGAAGAGCAGCCAGTTCTCTTAACCACTGAGCCATCTCTCCAGCCCCAGGCAGGGACTGGCCTCACATTCACTGTATAGTTAAGGATGATCTTGAGTTGTTACTGTCTCTACCTCCCAAGTATTGGAATTTCAGAGGTGGCTCAGTTTAAGTGGTGTTAGGAAGCAAATTAGGGTTTTTTTTTTTTTTTTCTTGCATGCTAGACAAATATCCTACCAATTGAGACACATCCAGCCCTCACGTCTCCTTTTGTGAGTCAGGGTCTCATTATGCAGTCCTGGCTAGCCTGGAATTTGCTATGTAGATCAGGCTGGCCTCAGACTCACAGAAATCCTCTTGCCTCTGCCTCTTGAGTGCTGGAACAAGTTTTGTGCCATTATGCCTTAAAAAATACTTATTTAATTTTAAATGTGTGTGTATGTGTGTGCCTGAATGAATTTATGTGCATCATATGCATATGCATGAAGAGGCCGCAGAGGCTAGAGCGTGTCTGATTCCTGAGAACCGCAGCATACGTGGCTGTGAGACACCTGATGTGAGTACTGTAAGCACTCTTAACCACTGTGCCCTGTTCCAGCCACCATGCCCCCCTTTTAGAAATGAAACAAGGCCATACATACTCTTTACTTTTTAGCCCAGGCTAGTCATTTTTTTCCCTCAAGACAGGGTTTCTCTGTGTAGCTTTGGAGCCTGTCATAGGACTCACTTTGTAGTGTGGCCTCAAACTCAGAAATCTGCCTGCCTCTCTGCCTCAAGAGTGCTGGGACTAAAGGCATGTGCCACCGTCACCAGCCTTTTTTTTTTTTTAAGATTTACTTATTATGTATAAAGTATTCTGCCTCCAGGTATGCCTGCTTTCCAGAAGAGGGCACCAGATCTCATTATAGATGGTTGTGAGCCACCATGTGGTTACTGGGAATTGAACTCAGGACCTCTGGAAGAGCAGCCAGTGCTCTTAACCTCTGAGCCATTCCAGGCTTGTCTTAAATTCATAGCAATTCTCCTGCTTCAGGTGCTAGGAGACTACAGGGGTGATTGCCAGTCAATTTGCCATGACTCTGATACTTTTTTCTTTTTTCTTTTTCTTTTTCTTTTTCTTTTTCTTTTTTCTTTTTTGAGACTGAGTTTTCCTGTGTAGCCCTGACTGTCCTGGAACTTGCTCTGTAGACTAGGCTGGTCCCAAATGCAAAGATCCACCTGCCTGGGATCAAAGGTGTGCACCACTACACTCAACCACAGGTATCTCTTTAAAGGCAAGAAACCTCTCTTAGAACCTTTTCTCTTAGCTAACATTTTTTTATGGGCTACAACAGAAGTAAACCCAACCCTAAACCAACAGTACAGGGAACAAATGCACACTAATGTATTAGAGTAGCCATAGTTGACCTGCGTATCCCCCAATCGAAATCAGAGCTCAGTCGATAGGGCAGGCAACAGGTTGCTGATAAGATTTCCTAGACGCTGCTCTGTGGCCTGATGGGCCCGGTCAGCCACAATCTACAGCTGGACCTTGGGGCTCAGGCTGAGGTTTTACTTTGATTCCTAGGATTTTTTTTTTAGTGTGTGTATATATGATTGTGTGTGTGTGTGTGTGTGTGTGTGTGTGTGTGTGTGTATGTGTGTGTGTGTGTGATGTGAAGATCAGAGGATACCATCTAATGTCTGTCCTCACCTCCTTTGTTTGAGAAAGGGTATCTTTGTAAGCCAGGCTAACTGTCCAGAGAGCTTCTTGTACCAAAGTGTTACATGTTTTCTAGGGATTTGAACTCATATTCTCATATTCTTGTATGTCAAGCACTTTACCCACTGAGCCATCTTACCAGTCCTTCATTCTCAGGGTCTGTCAACCTTTCATCCAATATATCTCTGAGGGGCCAATATGGAACCATGTCCTACTGTGGATCCCCTGGCCATCTGATGCTCTTGACTAAGAAAGTTCAAACATGACATTTCTCGACTCTCCCTGTCTCTGCCCCAATCTGGGTCTACAAAGGGCCTTTTTCCACCTCCTAGGAAGCTTCATCACTTCTTTCACTTTTATGCCAGGTCCAAGTGAATTCAGCCTGAGGCGCTGCTGGGGGCAGGGGACAGTACTGGCCTTAGAAGCAGCTGTGCAATGGAGTGACAGGCTGCTATTGTCCAGCTCACAAAGACATTACTTTTTTCAAAGGGTCAGGCACTGGGGAAAGACTAAAGGATTTTTCAAGTTATTTTTAGGACAGGAGGCAGTACTGCACTATGGGTAGTGTAGCCCGGGGTTCACTACAGACACGTGGGTCCATTCATTCCCACTGGCTTTACAGAGGTTAAAAATATGATTCCCTGTTCCCTATTTTAGCAATCAGCTGTCAACTGTGGGTTTTCAGCTCCTTCTGTATCCATAGTCATCACTGGAATTTAAGAGAGCAGAGAAGGCCAGCTGGACACGAGTACCGAATGAGACCGGAAGCCATATTCAAGTCCTTGTCAAAGGGCAGGCCGTGTGTGCTGGCTCTACTTCTGTCCCTTGCTATCTGATATCTATTTTCCCCAACTCCCTGGTATCCCAGAATCATGCTACTTTTTACACCATTTCACGGACCTCTTGCCAGCCTCTCTGACTGGTGAACTTGACCAAGCTCTTGACTATGTCAAGTTTCAACCCAAGCCCTTCATATACAATTCATCCTGTCGTGAGGTCGGCCCACTGAGAGTCCTTTGTGAACTCTTTATAAGGTTTTCCACGTTAAGATCTTGTCACCCCAGAGCAAAGGTACCTTTGCCTTGTCCAGGCCGGGGATCTTTTGTTTGTTTTTCTTGCCTGGTTGCTCTGGTAGTGTTAGGCACTATCATGGCTGGAAGTGAAGCAAGTGGTCACCCTGCTTTCTCCAGACAGGAGAGAGAAAGTTTCCAGTCTTCCTCTTGAATGTGATATTCTCTGTGGGCTTCACACAGTTTTTCTTTATCATGTTGGAGTGATTTTTTTGTAATATTTGCTTGCCTGCGACCAAACCATGGTGAACAAGTCAATCTTGGCTACACACTCTATTATGTCTTCAAACCACAGAAAGGCTGAAGGATTAGAACCAAGCAGGATGAGGGAGACTGGGTTTAGACAACGACAGTGGGAGAAGCCTTGATCAGAGATTCTTTCTCCTTAAGCTTCTGCCCCCACAAAGACTCTGCCCTTCAGGCCTGGTCAACAGTCCCCATTGCCACCCACAGGCCACGCCCATATCTACAATGAGCCCAAGTGCATGTCCCGCCCCTCCTGCCTTCACCCTGATCTTGTGGGCAGTGGGTCCTGGAGGAGCGTCCTACTCTTCTTACTTTCAGCACCCTGGGAAGAGGATGAGATCCGAAGGGACCGCGTGGAGCCCCAGAGTGTGTCTCTGTCATGGCGGGAGCCTGTCCCTGCTGGAACTCCGGGAGCCAATGGCACAGAGTATGAGATCCGCTACTATGAGAAGGTGAGTCTCGGCTGGAAGCCATCTGGATCCTGGCCTGCCTGACTCCTGCAGTCTTGTTCCTCTGTCATTCCAAACACAGCTGCGGCCTCCTGAGTTCTTCCTTCCTCCGTCCCTTCCTTTCTCTTCTCTCCCCTTCCTCACCCATGGAGATACAGCTCTGTTTCACCTCCTTGGTTTAGGGTTTAGAGGAGAAGAAGAGCTTGCTGTGGGGCAGGTCTGTTTTGTCTGGCTGAATTTCCAGATACCATCTGCAGACCCCTTTGGAAAGGAAAGCCTCACAGAGATAGCCATGTGACCACAGGAGCACATTGCCAGGCTGGAGGGGTATGTTCCAGAATGGTCACCTGCATTCCTGTGGCTTACTATAAAAGGGTGAGAGTGGTGAATCACTTATGAAACTCATGCACATTTATGTATGTTAAAATACATACATACTCGGCCGGGCATGGTGGTGCACGTCTTTGATCCCAGTCCTTGGGAGGCAGAGGGAGGTGGATCTCTGAGTTTGAGGCCAGTATGGTCTACAGAGCAAGTTCCAGGCCAGCCAGGGATGGACAGAAAGACCCTGTCTCAAAAAAACCAAACAAATAGAACACACTCATCATGAACTCCATAGAGCTATTTTTACTTTTGAGGTAGGGTCTTGCTATGTAGCCCTCCCTGGCTGTCCTTGAATTCATAGCAGTTCTCCTGCCTCAACCTGTTGAGTAGTAGGGTTGGACCTCTATCCCCAGCTTTTCATATAGCAAACAGTCCCTTTCTGTTTGCTTTGGGTCAGTTCTGTCTGCTGAGCCTTAGTTGATCTGGGATTCACTATGTAGCCGAGACCGGCCTTGAATTTACCTTGACCTCCAACCTTTGTGACCCCAGAGCTGGGGTTGAATGTGTGCATCACACTGTCTGATTTTGATATTCAGATGATACTTTTGTTGATTCTTTTCTTTCTTTTTGTTTTTGAGACAGAGTCTCCCTCTGTAGCCTTGGCTGGCCTCCAACTCTGTGGCTCCTCCTGCTTCTGCCTCCTGAGTGCTGGGATAGAAGGTGTGTGCCTCTACTCCCAGCCCTTTGCCGAGTTTCTTGGCTTTTCTCCCCATCCCCCACCTCCCCCAGGCTGGCTCAAGTGCCTTCCTGACAAATAGCTTTATAGTCTCCTCATCTACCCCCTCTTTCATTGGTGGTTCATTTGCTTATTTTTATTTTGAGATACATAGCTAGCCCCCTGCCTCTACCTCCCAAGTGCTGGGATTACAGGCTTCTTCCTCCCCCCTTTCTTCTCTTTTTTTTTTTTTTTTTTTTTTTTTTTTTATCTGTGGTAACAGTTCTGCCACAAAGTGATGAATGGAATTATTTCCCAACCCAAGCTCCTTCCCCATCAATTTGGTGTCTTTAACTCTGAGATGTGATCTTCTGTGAAACAGTGCCTCACTTTTATGCAAATTAATTCATTAAAGAGAAACTTCTTCCTGCTGGTGACAGAATTCCACTCCCTCAGCAGCATGTAGGGCTTTGCTGAATCAGATAATAGCTTTTGATTACTAGAAGTCTGTTAAGAGCTGTGATAGTTGGGGTGTCCAGGAAAAATAGGGTCACTGAGTCACTTTTGAATGCATGGGCCTGGGTGACCAGAGTATGGGGAACTGCTGGCTGAGGTGGAGGAGCACAGAGGAGGGGGAGCTGCTGGCTGAGGTGGAGAAGCACAGAGGAGGGGGAGCAGATGGGGCATGGTCTTGCTCTATATGAGGCCTGTAGGCCATCCAGGTAGACATCCTATATGTCTGAAGCTCTTATCAAAGCTGTGGGCTGGAGAGACGGGGTTGAGTGAGAACTTTGACATAGAAATGGCAGCTGAAGGGGAGGTGTCTGTGAGAAGGGTGGCCAGGACAGAAGGAGCCAACATTTAGGTGACAGTGAGGGCCATTGGGAGAGAGCGGTGTATACAGCAGGTGCTTAGAAGCACACACACACACACACACACACACACACACACACACACACACACACCGCTCCCCCATCACACCAAAGATTATTTGACTGTTCAGATGTTCAAGGGAGATGGAGATTCTGATGAGTTCTTATTGAGTCAAAGTCTGCCTGGTGTCATGAATGTCATTGTCAAAGAAAAAGAGGACCACAGAACATAGACAGACATTAACTCTCCAGTCTGTGGGTGTGGCAGGAACTCTAGTAAGGTGTGAGCAGAAACAAATGATAAGAGGAGCCTCCTGAGGACTTTTGGGTGTCAGGTGTACTGGGGGTACAGAAAAGGGCAGACCTGAAGGATTTAGAAGTGCCCCTCCCCACCCTCCCTTAATAAGGAGAGAAAAATGTTGACTCTGGGGGGCTGCATAAGGGCTGTAAAGGGTGTGTGGCCCAGCACAGTGGCTGGCAACCAGTAAGCCCTCACCAGTCACAGCCACCATTTTCCCCTGTCTCCAGCTAAGCAAGTCCCAGGGTCCTCATCCATGAAACAAAACAGAGCAAAGCCAACAAGATAATCTTTGCTCTCCTTTGCTTTACAAATCAGATGTTGGGGTGAAAAGTGTCAAGACAAGACAGGTGGCAGTGTGTGGCTTGCTTGGGTTCTGGCCTCCCTCACCCCTGATAGTCACCATCTGGGTACTCCTGCCGAGGAGGCTCTGGCCTATTATGGCATGAGTCTTGAGGAAAGAGGCGATGGATGGGAAACCTAGGGGAGAAATCTCTGCTGTCTCCCAAGATGATCTGGGTCAGGTTACCCTACCCAGCTTACAGGAAGTCCCTTTTCTCCCTGTACCCCTCCTCTCAGCCTCCTGGGTCTGGGCCTCTCTGATCTATCCTCTCCAGGGTCAGAGTGAGCAGACTTACTCCACAGTGAAGACAGGGGCACCGGCTGTCACTGTCACCAACCTGAAGCCTGCCACCAGATACGTTTTTCAGATCCGGGCGGCCTCCCCAGGGCCTTCATGGGAGTCCCAGAGCTTCAACCCAAGTATTGAAGTGCAGACCCCAGGGGAAGGTAAGTGGTGTGCACTGGGAGAGCGCTGGATGCAGGCAGGCTGTAGAGACAAGTGTCTCAGAAAGGGAGCCACAGAAGAGACTGCTACTTAAACAGTTTGAGCACCTTCCCTGGAGCACACTGTGGGGACCTCGGGGCAGCTGGTGCTCTCCTCAGAGAATGTATCTTCAGTGACCCAGCCTCTTTCCTGGGCTTCTCAAGGTCACCTCTTCCTGGACTTTGCCGGATCCTTCCAGCTGTTCTTCTCTCTGCCATGACAAAGATCCTCCTTGGGGCACTGTCTCCCCCCCCCCCCCAGGCTTAGCCTGTGAAAGCAAACTTCCCTGAAGGGGAGGGGCACCTGGAAGGGATCAATCAAAATGAACCCTGTACATTTTAAATGGAGCCAATGCAGGCTGGATGAGGTGGCACAAGGCAGTAATCTGGGCATTTGCAAGACTTGAGATCAGAAAATCAAAAGTGTTCAAGGCCAAGTGCCCCTACACAGAGTTCAAAGTCGGCCTGGGTGGCATAAGTAAGTAGATGAGCTGGTGGTGCAGACCTATAGTCCCAGCACTTGGGAGGGAAGGAAAACCAAGAGTTTGAGGCCAGGCTGGGCTATATGAAATCCTGGCTCAAGAAACAAGAAAGAAGGAAGGGAGGGAGGGAGTCAGGAAGAAAAGAATGAGAGAAGGAGGGAGGGGAAGGAAGCTGGAGAGAAGTGAGAGGCAGAGGCGTGTAAATTACATCTCAAAGTTGTAACAACAAAAGAAAAGCTGAACTTGAAATTCCTGGTCTTGAAATGGCCCCCTTCCTGGTGTTGTGCTTGCCTGGCCTTCTCTCCCCTGCCTCTGCCCTTCCCTCCCCTGCCTTCCCTTCCCTCCCCATCCCTTTTCAGAGTGCCAGCATCTCCCTCTTGTTGCTCAGCCTTCTTTGGCCCCAGCCCTGAGGACCTCACGTCTATCTATCCTGCGCAGTTCATGGAAGTATTTTCCCCAACAAAGGCAGCTCCCCCTAAGAGGCATTCTGGCACCAGCTGTCAAGATAAGAATTCTTCCCAACCTGCTACATGACTCTAATCCAAGATAGGAAATTCTGGGAGCCCCCCAAAGGAGGTGAAGGTGAAGATAACACGTGAAGGGAGACCAGGTCTGGGAAGGTAGACAGCATGTCTTGCCGGAAGAGCCATCTGTGCTTGGCCTTAGGGCAGGTGCTGCCAAGACTAGATTAGAGCTGTGGCTTAAGGCTGCGGTCTATTTGAACCAGTGGAAGTGAGCAGAAAAGGCTTGAGCCGTTCTCCTCCTCCTTCCTCACCCTGAAGCTGCTACGGCCAGCCGTCTTTCTACTCCTTTAGTGTCCAGTCCTTCCCCTCCCTAATAGTTATTCTGAACCTTTTCTTCCTCAGTCACTTCCTCTCCATCCTCACTCCAGCTCCACCGGCTGCCTGTGCCCTTTCCTCTCGGGTCAGGCAGGAATCTGTCGCCACTCCTAGTGAGTCTCCGGGAATTCTTTCTCCTTACCCTGCAGCCAAGGTTCTCTAGTTATGCCTCTCCAAGGTCCCCCCGAACCCCGCCTCAGTTTCCACCTGTTAGGCTCTGCCTCTGGACAGCGTAACCTCCGGTTTTGTGGGCTGCTTGCTGTTTCCCAGGCCCTGCTTGTGCATCAGGGCCTAGTCTTTCAGAGTTCCAGCCCCCAGCTTCCTCAGGGATATCAGGAAGGAAGTGTCGGCTTCTGTTCTGCTCCCCCCCCCTTAAGTATTGTTTATTAACGAACTTAGTTTTGTCTCTCAGTCTGAGCCTGTGCACTTCTTTAGTCAGATTGGGATTCTATGGGCGTCTGTCCAGGCTCAGAGCTGCTTTGGCATCAGGCAGAGTGTTTGGGGGACAGGTTCCATTCCAATCTTGGGTTCACCTGGCTATCGTGGCATGTGACTGTAATCTCAGCACTTGGAAGGTGGAGTCAGAGGGTCAAGAGGTCAAAGTCATCTTTGGTTACATGAGTTGGAGGCCAACCAATGCTACATGATACTCCATTTCAAAAACAAAGCAAAACCCCACAAAATCCTGTGTTTGTCAACTTAGGTAGCTTTCTTCAATCCATCTCCTCTTCTTGAACTGGACACAGTAACCCTTGCAGGAGTGTTGTGTGAGACAGGACAATATAGTTCAGCACAAGCAGCCTGTCTCAGACACTGCTGTGCTCAAAGTTAATGTACTGCTGCTGGCAGACACTCTATGTTGGGAAAGGAACTCCGAACAGAGGCTGTGACCCCGCAGAGCTTCTGGAATTCTCTGCCCCCGTGAAAGGCATAACGGGAGGCCAGCCCCAGCTGCTTGGACTCTTGCCTCCTCTCAGAGCAGGCCTGAAGCAGAGAGGCCCTGCCTGTAGACAGAGGTGTTTGGCACTCCAGTTGTCACTATGGGCATTGGTGCTACTGTGTGCCCAGAGGCTGAGGGATCTTCCTAATGGCTGAGACAAAAGTCTCTCTTAGTGTTTGCCCAGGGGCCTAGTCTTCTGCCTGCCTCAGCCCCCTGCTTTGTTTTGTTTTTCCCCTAGTTGCCTCAGGGTCCAGAGACCAGAGCCCCGCAGTGGTTGTCACTGTTGTGACCATCTCAGCCCTCCTGGTCCTGGGCTCTGTGATGAGTGTGCTGGCCATCTGGAGGAGGTAGGTAGTTGGTTTCATCCTGGTGACCTCTGGTGGGTTCTGTCCCCATGCTTATCAATGCACCTGCCACCCCCACCCCCAATACACACATACACACATAGGCAAGTTTACAGACTCAAGCACATTGCTACATAGATCCCAATGCCACCTGGGAACACGAGTGCCCACAACCCCCAGCACTTAGGAGATGGAGGCAGGAGGGTCAGGGGTTCAAGCCCTACTTCAGCTACATAACATACAGAATTTGAAGCCAGCCTGTGCTACAGGAGACCCTTGTCTTACTTCCCCTCCCTTCAAAAAAGATACTAGTGTGGTGAGTACGGCCCCTCCCCCACGGCTGCTCATGCACCAGCTGCAGGCACCGCAGCTAGCTCAACCGTGCTGGGATGAAGGGGATTTAGCTCCTTAACTCATTAAATGTCAGAAGGCATCACTGAGGATGGAATCAAGCTCCAGCTGCTCGAGTGTGATTAGGATTCTCCCTGAGGCACTCTGAGGCCCCCAGCTCTGGCCCCCAGGGGATCTGGAGCCCCTTGAACACAAGCAAAGAGGAAAAAGTCAGTACTTGGGTGGGAGAAAGAGGGGAGGGGAGGGAAAAGAAACTCATCAGTCTGAGCCATGTCCCTCCCCACACAGAAGCTTGCAGGCAGAGAAAGAGTGTGGGGGAGACAGGGCTGCCTGGTTGGGTCTGGATGAAAGAAAATTCCATTTCCTTTGGACAAAGCAGAGGCTTTGTGTGCACTCCCACCCCTCCCAAGAGCATCCTGCTATACCCAGAGGTCCCAGCAGTCGCAGTCTGGAGCTTCGGTAGAGCTAATGGGTTGGAGTTGTGTATAGAGGAAAAGTGGGCTGGCTGGGGACCCACAACTCAACAGTCTGAGATCCAGAGGGACAGTGAGGGTTTCTTTGACACCAGCTATTTGTATGGCCTTGACCAAAGCACTGGTAGTGAAGGAAGAGAGTGACTGTCCTGCAGATCTAGGAGCCATTTGTGCTTAGGTAAGGTAGATCAAGAAGACAGTACAGGTTGGGCTTAATGACATACGCCTTTAATCCCAGCGTTCAAGAGGCAGAGGCAGGTGGATCTCTGTGAGTTCAAGGCCAGTATGGGTCTACATAGACAGTTCCAGGACAGCCATTGCAGGGCACAATAGAGAGACCCTGTCTCAAAAACAGGACAAGAGTAGGGAGCTCCTTCCTTTAGGTCCATCCACGTTCTGGGCCTGTTGGAAAAGCAGGGACGGGCAGCTGCAGGGAGTATCTCATCCGGGCTTTAACTATCAGGGCTGTGGAGGCAGGAGCAGACAGGTGTACTGGAGCAGGCGGGGGAGACAGCTGTAGACTTCAAGTCATACTGCCCTTCAGTGGGGAGGACCAGGGAGCAAATTACCATACTAAGTAATGGATTTAATTTCTAAGTAATGGGTTTAATTACAAGATTTTCTTTTTAAAGACTTATTTTTGTTTATGTGTATGTATGAGATTGATGGCCCGTGTGTGCACGTGTGCCCTCTCAGGAGCACATGTCCTTGGAGACCAGTAGAAGACATCAGATCCTTTGAAGCTAGAGTTACAGCAGTTGGGAGTCACCTAATGTGGGTGCTGGGAACTGAACACCGGTCCTCAGGAAGTGGACTAAGACATCTCCCCAGCCCTCACTGTAACATTTTCATGTAGACTTTGTTTCATGGTTAAAATGATTACTTGTATTGTTCTATTACTAAATAAAACTTAGGAGTCAGATATTGGGGTAAAAACCTCATAGACCCAAGGAGCAACAAAGGAAAGATCAGCTGCCCCTCCTCCCCACTTCCAGATAGAGAAGACCTCACATCTTTCTAAGTCCCTCTCTACTACTTCCTGTGCCCCCCAATCTCAGTGCTCCAAAACCTCTATGGCTAAATCTTGGTCAGCCAAATGTCGACTCCACCCTTTGCTTCAAGGTTTAACTTTATTGCCCGTCTTGAAGTGACAGTGAGAACAAATCTCTTGCAACACATAGTTTTTAGTTCTGGTTCCCCTGTCACTCTTGCGTCTGCTCAGCCTTCCTCATCTCTCCTCCTCTCCTCTGGATGCCTCCTGTCATGAGTCTCATAAGAATCCCATCAGTCATCACTCTAGGTGACTTGAGCAGCCACTAGGTGGCCAGCCTGGCCTCTTGGTTTCTCAAGGTTTTATCCCTAAATCCCTGTCTTGTGTGGTAGCCCTCTGCTTATTCCTTTGGGAATGCTCTACCATCAGGTACATAACACAGTTCTACTTATGCCTGCCAAGGCCCGGTCCTTGTCACTTGCTCTGTCAGCCATGCCTGTGGCCCTACTCTCCAGCATCATCAATGGCCCCTCAATGTCTCATGCTCAAGGCTGCAAACCCTGCCTGCCTCACAACAAGCATTCTCATTTCTTTGCTCTAGAGAAGGAACCTTCCTCTTAGGCAGGATGAGCCCAGCTACTCAGAATGGAGCCCCAGCCCCTCCTACTGCTTCAGGACACATCACTACTCATAATGCCCCTCTCGTCCCCCCACACAAGAGCACTGTGTCTCAGTTACTTCTCTATCCCATGACCAAGGGGTCTTAGTTAGGGTTTTATTACTGTGAAGAGGCACCATGACCACAACAACTCTTATAAAGGAAAAACATTTAATTGAAGCTGGCTTGCCATTCAGAGATTAAGTTCATTGTCATTGTGGTGGGAGGCATGGCCACATGCAATGGTGGGAGGCACGGCCACATGCAATGGTGGGAGGCACGGCTACATGCAATGGTGGGAGGCACGGCCACATGCAATGGTGGGAGGCATGGCCACATGCAATGGTGGGAGGCACGGCCACACGCAGGCAGACATGGTGCTGCAGAGGTAACTGAGAGTTCCACATCTGGGTCTGCAGGCAACAGGAAGTGACTATGAGCCCCTAGGCAGGCTTGAGATTCTGAGACCTCAAAGTCCACCCCCCTAGTGGCACACTTCTTCCAACAAAGCCACACCTACTACAGCAAGGCCAAAGCTCCCAAAAGTGTTGCTTTCTGTGAGCCTATGGGGGCATTTTCTTTTTCTATTTTATGTGCATTGGTGTTTTGCCTGCATGTACATTTGTGTGAGGGTATCAGATCTTGGAGTTACAGACAGTTATGAGCTGCCAGGTGGGTGCTGGGAATTGAACCTGGGTCCTCTGGAAAAACAGTGCTCTTAACTGCTGAGCCATCTCTCCAGCCCTGGTCATTTTCTTTCAAAATGCCACACAAGGCAACTTAAAAGAAAGAGTCCATGACCATCATAGAGAGGAGCACGGCAGCAGGCAGGCGTGCCATGGAGCAGATACTGAGAGCTTATATCTGATCCACAAGCACACACACACACACACAGAGAGAGAGAGAGAGAGACAAAGAGAGAGAGGAGACAGAGACAGAATGAGAGAGTGAGCACTGGGCCTGGTATAGGCTTTTGAAATCTCAAAGCCCCTCCCCCAGTGACACACCACCTGCAACAAGGCCACACCTACTCTAACAAGGCCACACCTACTCTAACAAGGCCACACCTACTCTAACAAGGCCACATCTTGATCATTTCCAAACTATTCCACTAATGGGGACAAAGCCTTCAAATGTAAGAGAATATGGGGGTCATTCTCATTCAAACATGACACTCTGAGGCTTAGTAAGTGTGCTAGCTCTCTGTTGCTGTGACAAAATGTACAAGGTAGTCAACTTACAAGAAAAAAGTTTTTTGAGGCTCACAATTTCAAATGTTTGGTCCATGACCACTTGGCCTTGGTCCTAAGGGTGGCAAGTCATCATGGTGGGATGTAGCAGAAACAGCTGCTCACCTCATCGGCAGCCAGGAAGCAGTGAATCAGGAAGGTACTGGGGTCACAATATTCTCCTAAAGGGCATGCTGCTAGTGACCCAACTTCTTTCTCCAAGACCACACTCCCAAAGGTTCCATCCCTCCTTTTATCACCCCAGGCTGTGGACCAAGTCATTTATCACTTAAGCCTTTGAGAGATAGTCCAGATCCACACTATAGGCAGGATGTGGTGGCACACATCTTTGAGGTCAGCCTGGTCTACAGAGTGAGATGCAAGGCTGCCAGGACTACATAGTGGAACCCTGTCTCAAAACAACAAAGCCGGGTGGTGGTGGCACACGCCTTTAATCCCAGCACTTGGGAGGCAGAGGCAGGAGGGTCTCTGTGAGTTTGAGAACCGCCTGGTCTACAAGAGGTAGTTCCAGGACAGCCTTCAAAGCCACAGAGAAACCCTGTCTCAAAAAAACAAACAAACAAACAAAAAAACAAAACAACAACAAAAAACCAAACAAACAAAAACCAAACAAGAAAACAAAAAGAACAACAACAAAAAAGAACAGAAGTAGGAAAAATCCACATTATAACAATAAGATCCTTATTACCATGATGCTGTTAAGCAGGGCTGTCTTTATCATGATTTTATTACAGAGAAAAGCTGAGTCACCCATTCCCACTGCCACAGGGTGGGGGAATGCTTGGACGCAAGAGCACACAGTCAAATTGTAAAGGGCGTGAATCAGAATCCTTTCATGCCACTATCTCCTGTGACATCTCCCCTTTGCAAACTGTTCCCCAACCCTTCGTCCTGTCTTCATGAGACCCTGTCTCATCTCCATCACTGCTTTCTCCTTCCTTGGTTCCTGTGACATCTCATCTCCTGTTCCCTTCTATTTCTTATCCTCTTCCGAAGCTGCCTCCCCTCAATCCAGCCTAATTATTCCCAGTACCTCCTTTCAGGCTGCCTCATCTCCCTGGGCAAAATTCACAGTCAGTGTGTTTGTATTTTCAGAGCAGACCTACCTTCCAAGAGTGAGAAACATTCACCAGACTGCCTACTCGTAGATTCCCCCTGCATTTCCCACCACCCCAGGAGCCCAGATGTCCAAGCCTGACCTTCCCTTGCTCTGCTTGACAGTGGCTCTCCATGAGCTCTCTGGGCAACTCTTCAGTCTTCCTTGCAGCTTCCTGCAATCGTCAAGCCCTACCATCCTGTCATAGGCTTGTTCCTCCACATTTCTCTCCCCTCTGTTCAGGACTGGCCAACCCATAGCTCGAGCTACTGCCATCTCCTGAGGGAACCCTAGAATGGCAGCCAGGATCTTCTTTCTCAAATGCAAGTTGGAAAAAAAAATCATATAAAATGTAAACTGAATCAGGGCACTTCCCTGCTTCAAGGAAAGCCTGCCTCAGGGTGTCAGATCCAGACTGCTGTGGGCTTTGCTTCTGGCTCAGGATGGATCAGCCTGTTATTCCTCACAGGGTAGCATAGGGCTTTGTGCCAGGAGTGTAGGCTTGCACACCTCTGGAGTTTGTCTTAAAACAGAAACACCGGGAAGGGTGATGGGATTGAAAGGCTAGCGTTCTGGGCTTAGGATTGTCCATGTGCTGAGGGAAGAAGGATGTTGGACTGCAAACCACAAAGAAGCAACCGAGGCAGCAAAAAGTGAAGAGAGAAGGGGAGGGAAAAGAGGGGAGGGAGAGGGAAGAAAAGATAACCTTCAGTGAGGTGGCTCAGTGGGTAAAAGTGTTTGCCATAAAGTCTGTTGACCAAGTTCCATCCCTGAAACCCACATGATGGAAGGAGAGAAGCTATTCTCTCAAGTTGTCCACAGGAGTGCCAATAATAGCATGTACACACACACACACACACACAGAGAGAGAGAGAGAGAGAGAGAGAGAGAGAGAGAGAGAGAGGGAGAGAGAGAGAGAGAGAGAGAGAGACAGAGACAGAGACAGAGACAGAGACAGAGAGACAGAGAGAGAGATGCAATTTAAAAAAGATTACATCATTTTTAAAAAGAAAAAGGGGGTGGGGTTGTAAGATGGCTTAGTAAGCTGGGCATGGTACTGCATATCTTTAATCTCAGCACTTAGGAAGCAGAGACAGGTGGGTCTCTGTGAGTTCGAGGCCAGCCTGCTCTACAGAACAAGTTCCAGGACAGCAGAAACTGCACATAGAAACCCTGTCTTGAAAAACCAAATCAAAACAAAACCAACCAAAGATGGCTTAGTTAGTGGATAAGGGCACTTGCCATGAAGCTGACGGCAAGAAGCCACAAGGTGGAAGAAGAAAACCAACTTTTGCAACTTGTCCTCTGAATAAATCGGAAAATAAATTGAAATTTAAACCGAAAAGAAGCCTCCCAACCAGCAGGACGAGAAAGTCCCTCTGCAGAAGGGCACAGAGCTTTTCTTTCTGAAGGGACCAGGAGGTGCTGCCCCGGGTGCTGGTGAAATGGGAAGGGCTGGGGTGGCCTGATGAAAGGGTGTCTCTGCGTCCCCACAGGCCCTGCAATGGCAAAGGAAGTGGAGACGCCCACGACGAAGAGGAGCTGTATTTCCACTGTGAGTTGTCTGTGCCACACACACCTCTGTCTTCAACCCCTTCCCAGCTGCCACCTCCTATTACCCCAGCAATGAGACCTCTTCCCTCAGTCTCCCTCTCTGTCTGTTCTCAGTCAAAGTTCCGACACGCCGCACATTTCTGGATCCCCAGAGCTGCGGGGACCCACTGCAGGCTGTGCACCTGTTCGCCAAGGAGCTAGATGCCAAAAGCGTCACCCTGGAGAAGAGCTTGGGAGCAGGCAAGCCCTAGAAGTCTGGATTCGTCAGGGAGCTCCGCCCACTGGATAAACCCCACCCACCAGGCAACACCCACTGGGGAAAGCCCTGAGTCTAGGCTATTCCCATCTCTTTTCAGCCAGCTTCCCCTTCCAGTCCCCACCCCATGGCCGGAAGCCCCGGCTCTGCGCCAAGGGTACCCTTTCCCAGAAAGTCCCGCGCCCACTAGAGGCGATCGTGGTTCTGCCCTCTCTCCTCTGTCCCCTAGCTCACCATGGGACACCTGCATTCAGGACCTTTCCCAGATACCTTCCCGAGAGGCTCCGTTTAGCCCCAGGCTTTTATGGGACGGTGGGAAAGGGTCTTTACAGTAAGGGGCTGGTCAGACACGCCTGAGGTCCGTCCATGGATTAGCTGAGCTAGAGGCTCATCGTGAGCCTCAGTTTCTCACCCCCCAAAGGGGCGTGGCATCGCCACCCTGAGTGCTGCTGTGGGAACTCCGCAGGCAAAGGGCAGGGCTTTGCGGGTTCTGAGCATCATTCTCCTCTTGGCTGTTCACAACTGTCAGTTACCAAGGAGCAGGCCTCGCCCTGGAACCTTCACAAGAGAAGTCAGGAAGGAGCTGTAGGGCAGAGTAGATCTCATCGTCATCTGCCCTTGGCTTTGCTGGGTTCAAGGACCTTTGATGGATAGGCAGGTGCAAAGTTCCTGTCTCTCTGTCACAGAGAAGGGAACTAAGGCCAAGAGGACAGAGATGAAGCCCAAGGTGACACTGCTGCTACTCAGCATGCTAGGATTCGAACTCTGGAGCTTCCCACAGCAAGCTGGAATTGACCCAAATCCCAGAGTCACCTTCTCCTTGGTTCAGCTTACCCCATTTGCTGGCGGGACTCTGAGGTGCTGTTTCTTCACAGGCCGATTTGGGGACCTGTGCTGTGGCTGCCTACAGCTGCCTGGTCGCCAGGAGCTGCCCGTGGCTGTGCACACTCTGAGGGATGGTTGCTCTGATTCCCAGAGGCTCAGCTTCCTGGCTGAGGCCCTCACCCTGGGGCAGTTTGACCACAGCCACATTGTGCGGCTGGAAGGCGTTGTCACCCGAGGTAGGCCTGTCACTGCACATGCCTGTACTTAGCTGGATTCTGGGTGGATTCTCCTTCCAGGCTATGGGGTAGACTCGGGCACAACCTTAGTTCACTGCTCACTTTCTCTTCAGTGACTCAGGGTGGCCCCTCTCTTGGAGAATGGCCTTTCCAATTTGCAGTGACATTTGGGGAGTGGATCACTTTCTCAGCTGACTCTGCAGCTCTGACATGGGCCTCTGTCCCGCTATGGACAGTTGACTTTTTTTGTACCTCAGCACTAGAGTGGTAGATAGGGGTGGGTGTGGTGGAGCTGAGTGGGTGGAATTAATGGGCTGGCTGGCGGGTGGCGAGATCAGAAAAGTTGGCTTTGCTTCTGGCTATCTTGGCTGAGATGGAGCTGGTGTGGGGAAGTGTGTGCATAGGGAGAGCCAGCAACTTAGTGTGTCTCCATCCCTGGCACAGGAAAACCCTTGATGATTGTTACTGAGTACATGAACCTCGGAGCCCTTGATGACTTCCTCAGGGTGAGTGGCAGGAGACCTGGGTGGGGAGTACCCATGTCATACTTTTCTTGTCCCTTCCCTTGGGATTGACGTTGCTCCCACTGGGCAGGCTGACCTGCTGCTTGTGCTACACTGACTCCCAGAGGGACTTAGTGACTTCCCGGGTGATCTGAGTGCAGGGTCGTGGCTTCAGTCCTCACCCATTCCACAGCATCACGAGGGGGAGCTGATGGCTACACAGTTGATGGCTCTGCTGCCTGGGCTGGCATCGGCCATGAAGTATCTGTCAGAGATAGGCTATGTGCATCGGGGCCTGGCTGCCCGCCGGGTGCTGGTCAGCAGCGGCCTCATCTGTAAGATCTCTGGTTTTGGGCGGGGTCCCCGGGACCGAGCTGAAGCTGTCTACACCACCATGGTAAGGAGCTCCCTTCTCTGGTTCCACCTGCTGCTTCTCCTGCTGGCCACACCCAGCAGCCCCCTGGTCTCCATACCTCTGCTCTGCCCCCTTCCCTGCTGCTGCTGGTCCTTCCCTACCTGGTCCCTCCCCTGTGATGGCACCGTCCCCATGTCATCCCTATGTCAGTTGGGCTGCTTCCTCAGATGTGAAGGGGGTGGGGGAAGACGTGGGATTGGCTGTGGGTGCTGCTGGTCTCAGTGCTTTCCTGCCCTGCTTTGCTTACCCGCCATAGAGTGGCCGGAGCCCAGCGCTCTGGGCAGCTCCCGAGACCATTCAGTTTGGCCACTTCAGTTCTGCTAGCGACGTTTGGAGCTTTGGCATTGTCATGTGGGAGGTGATGGCCTTTGGGGAGCGGCCCTACTGGGACATGTCTGGACAAGATGTGAGTGACCTATGGCTCCAGCTTCCTGACCTCTGCCTATCGATCCTTGACCTCTTAGCTCCAGACCTCTCTTCTACCCCCATCCTTTTTAGAGTCCTCCCCCGGAGGGTGGTGGTGATGGTGGTGGTGGTGGTGTGTGTGTGTGTTGGACAATCTGCTCCCCATCTCTGGAGCCCAGGTGATCAAGGCTGTGGAGGATGGCTTCCGGCTGCCACCCCCCAGGAACTGTCCCTCCCCACTGCACCGACTGATGCTTGACTGCTGGCAGAAAGACCCAGGTGAGCGGCCCAGGTTCTCCCAGATCCACAGCATCCTGAGCAAGATGGGGCAGGAGCCAGAACCCTCCAAGTGTGCTGCGAACACCTGTCTCAGGTACATCCTACCAACCCCTGAGCCAGATCAGCCAGCCAAACTCTCACTTGTCTGTCAGTGTTCTCCCAGTGTCCCAAGTGCAGCCAGCCGCCCCGTCCTGTTCAGGTGTGAAGCCCAGCCCATTGTCCAGACAGACCTGACATCCCCACCTGCTTCAGGCACATCTCACCTCATGTCACTCATGTCCTGGCTTTTGCCCTTTACTTGGCTCAGCTCTCCACTTGCTGGAGAGTACTGACCCGCTCCCTTCTTTGGGGCCTTTTGTGTGCCCCATTGGAGCCACAGTAAGCCCTGGGTGTGGTCACCTTACTTTCCCCTTGTCCTTTCTTGCTTCTCAAGAGAGTGACTGGGTCTGGTGCCACACCCTCGTTGTGACTGACTGCGGCCTCTCTGCTCCCCAGGCCTCCCACCCCACTGGCGGATCGTGCCTTCTCTACCTTCCCCTCCTTTGGTTCTGTGGGTGCTTGGCTAGAGGCCCTGGACCTGTGCCGCTACAAGGACAACTTCTCTGCAGCTGGCTATGGGAGCCTAGAGGCTGTGGCTGAGATGACTGCCCAGTGAGTCTAAGGAGCCAAGGTCAAGGCCGGGGTTCAGGGAACCCAAGAGTGTCCCTATCTAGATGGGAAGGCCCTATCTGCTCTGGCTCTAGGCCTTTCCTTGTCCAGAGAAGGGGAAGGAGAGGGTTGGCTTCCATGGGAAGAGCAGGAGAGGGATTGGGTCAGCTGAACATGGCTGCTTCTCCTTGCAGGGACCTGGGGAGCCTGGGAATCTCTTCTGCCGAGCATCGAGAAGCCCTCCTGAGTGGGATCAGTGCCCTGCAGACTCGAGTGCTGCAGCTACAGGGTCAGGGGGTGCAGGTGTGAGCAGCTCAGTCCTGCCCAAGGACCTGCAAGCTACACCCCTGCTTAGGTGGGAGGAGGGAGTGAGTGCTTTCTTACTCTTAGTGGGCCCTGAGCTGGTTGGTGCCATATTGTCCCCCCATTTCATATTTCCTCTCAAAACCTTTCTGACCTAGTGGTCCTAAAAAAGAGGTTCAGATCCCTGGAGAGGACCCTAGAGATAACAGTAGGAAGAAATTTAGGGTGTCAAGGGCAAAGCTGGCTGGGGAAGACAATCACTTTCAGTTGTCCTGCCTCAGGCCCCTTGGTCTTCCATGCTCACTTGGGGTTGGGCCTACTCAATGGGCATCTCCTTTCCCCAGAGAGCTTTTGGCCTGCCAGGCAGTAAGAGTCCCTGAGAGAGACTCATTGGTTGTGGCAGAGGCCACAGCTGCCTGAGCACCTGAGTATGGAACCCTGGGCCAGTGGGTGGTAGCCTTTACTTCCTATGCCTTGGCTAGGTCTGTCTGAACCCTGGTGTCAAGGCCCAAGCAGGAAAGTGGCGCTGAGCTCAGGGACTGGACCCCCAGGCAGGGACTCCAGAGCTGATGGCTTCCTGCCTTGGGTTGGCAGGTTTGGATGAAGGCCAGCCTCCTAGTAGGTCACACCAGGTCCTGCTGCTCCCCCTGGGCCTGGCTGTCTCATTTGCTTTGGAACTGATTCAGAAGGGGTAGGGGTGGGGGTTGCTGTGCATTCTGGAGAGTGGAGAAGAAAAAGAGACTGAGGAGGGAATGGTTTTGTCAGGCTGGTCCAACCCCACTGTATAGATGGGGAAGTCAGAGTCTATAATCTCAGAGCCAGGGCTGAAGCCAGACCAAAATCCGGGGAGCAGGCTGGCTCTGGAGAGAGCTTACCCTTCCCCTTGGCACCCGCACTCTTCCCTGGGCAGCCCAGTGAGTCCTCGCTGGGTGAGTCCCTTCAGGCTGCTCTGCCCCTGCACTCCATGCTTCCTTTGTAGAGTGCCTCCCTGTGTGCTCTACAGAGCCCTTGAAGGAGTGTGGTGCTGAGCAAGGGTCCTGGCAGCTCTGAGAACTTGAGATCAGGGCCATCCTGGGAGGGCAGGAAGGCTGCTGGATGTGGACAAGACCACTACATCACTCTTGATGGATCCTGTCTGTTTTTGCTGTGCTAACGAAGAGGGGTGGCAGGGGCTGGGACAGAGCAGGTGGGAGTGGAGAGAGGCTGGCAGAATAGTGTCCCTTTGGAGGGATCAGACTAGGAGGGGATTCCCCCTGGGGAACAGGGAGAATGGGCAGGTGGATCATTGAGATGTATGTGTTGAGGGATGTCCAGAAGGCTTCTTAGCTGAAGTCAGAATTGAATAAGGCCTTGAGGGGTAGAGTGTTCTCTCCCTAGGGTGGATGGAGTTATCTGCAGGCTCAAAATCCAAGCAGGGGTCTCTAACAGAGAGTCTGGGGGCTGGAAGCCACAGCATCTTTGGGGCGTACCCCATAGTGGGGGCAGTGACTCTCAGCAGTGCCTTTGGCCGTGACCTGTCAACAGCAGCTCTTCCCTCGTCAGAGCCTGCCCCAGAGGCCCCTGGATCTCTGCTCCCTGAGCACCTGCCTGAGCTCAGTGACTACAGGGATGCTGGGGTAGACTGGGTTACTGCAGCCACCTTTGACAGAACTGGGGGAACTGATATGCCCCCACAGGCTCTTCCTTCATTCTTCCTCCAGGGAAAACTGGCCCAACATCCAAGACGCATGGGGACCAGTGCCCTGTCTTGGGTGATCAGAACCTTGTCCCCATCTCCAGCCACATCAGTCATTGTCAAGGTCAAACTCCTCCCAGTTGTCTGCAGAGGGGTCCCTGGTTGTGTTGGCAGGACTTCGGTGTCCAGGGTAGACCTCCTCTCTGATGAGGAGTGAGGTCCTAGAATCCTGAGGAGTCCCAGGCCTCAGCCCTGAACAGGCACCAGCATGATACAGGGTGCTGGGTCACTGGGGGCCCTCCACAGGTCTATTTTTATACATGGAACTTGTTGCTGGACAGAGGAAGGTGTCCTGGAACCCATATTGCCCTGTATGCACCCACCCAGGGAGGAAGGGGCTGGTTGTGGGTGAAGGCTCCTTTGAGGAACTCTGGAGATGTTTTTATATTTCTTGGGTTCTATATGCAGTACAAAGTAATAAAAACTTGTCTGTGCTATGGTCCTTCTGTGTGGCATTGTCAAACCACTGAGCAGTTGTGCGTGGAGATTCTGCACACAGATCCTGGGTGTGTGCGCCTGAGATTTTTCTGATACGAAGAATGCTGCTGTCTAGTGGAGACACAGAAATGGGACTGGACGAGGGCCAGGAGCACATAGGATGCACTGGGTGTCACAAGCCTGCTTTACAAAACCAGGCAAGCAAGGAAGCTGTGTGCTGGAGGAAGCGGTACCCGGGCAGGTGTGGAGCTGGGGGAAGCGGTACCCGGGCAGGTGTGGAGCTGGGGACAGGAAATGACCAGCTGGATTTGGGGTGTGCACATGAGATGCGTGGAGACTGTTTAGGACATGGGTAGATATCTAAGCCTGGACCTTGGAATGCAGATGTGAGCTAGAGACTGACCTCTGGGTTCATTGCCACCCAGAGGAAGGTTGAAGCCACCATGGGAGGGAGGCCACCCAGGGAGCACAGAGAGTAGAGGGGAGTCCTAGGGAAGCTCTAGCGTTACAGGACAACTTGGATGGAGGGGCACAGGAGCCAGACTACAAGGAGAAGTAGAAAGGAGAGGCTGGAGCGGGGGTTAAGAACACTAACACTGGATGATCTTCCAGAGGACCAGGGTTCAATTCCCAGCACCCACATGGCAGCTCACCACTGCCTGTAATCCCAGCTCCAGAGGATCTGCCATCTCACACAGACATACATGCAGGCAAAACACTAATGCACATTAAAAAATAATTAAAAAAAACATCATAGGAAGGAGAGGTCAAAGTGTGAGTGGGTGTCAGATCCAGAGGGTAGGGGCTGTTGGGAGATGACATTGGTGACTACAGGGATCTTCCAGGCCACTGGGTGTTGTACACAACGTGCTTATTATCTCACGGCTCTGGAGCTGGAATGCCAAGGTATTACTTCCTCCTGAAGACTGAGGGGAACATCCCATGGCTATCTTCAGTTTCTCTGCATCTGATCCATACCAGCCCAGCCCAACAGCCTCATTTAAACTTAATTATTTCTTCAAAAATGCCATCTGCAAATAGAGTTATGTTCAGCTATTGGTGTTAGGATTCCCACACAAGAGTGTGAAGGGGAATTACCTAACTCCTAACAATGCCCTTAATTTTAGGGGTGCAGAAGTCATAAGAGAAGGATGGGGGTGGAGCTGAAGAACTTAGACTGTAGCAAAGTGCTCCCACAGTGTAGGCTTACTACTAGCAGGGAGAGACCCCAAGTAGGTACAGCGGATGGCTGGAGTGGAAATGGTCCTCTCTGGGCAGTGAGCCTGACCTGGCTTTATGAAGCAGCCTCCTGTTCAGCCAGTGTGCACTAGACACCAGACACCTACTAGTGGCCAGCACTGGAAGCTAAGATCTAATTGCTTATTGCACAGTCAGATATGGAAAGAATGAGGCATGAGTCTAGCTAGGCACTGTGATCTCAGGAGGTTGTGCCTTGCCTACTCTCTGCTCCCCTGAGGTGTGTGTGTGTGGGGTCCTCCCAGGGGAAACTGAGTAGTGAGTTTACTGCTGTTGCAAAGCAGGGCCTGATCTTGCATTTCTGCATCTCCCCTCCTGACCTCACCCCCATTGCACTGCCTACCACAGTGTGTGCCCCTTTGCCAGTTAAGTGGAAATGCATGAGACAATGGAGAGAAATCAGAAACCATTTGGGGTCATGGATGACCTAAGATGTCTACAGCATGTTAAGTGTGGGCAGGGGAAATATTTTGACCAAGGCCACTTTATGTAAGACAAACCCAGAATCCAGACCAAGCTTGTATCTGAATCGTGACTACCCTCCCCGACCCCCAGGTGGTTGGTTTCCTTGCACTCCTTCACACACTTTTTGAATTGTCTGCAGTCAGGATGAACTTCACCCAAGCAACCTTTGCAGTTCATTTGGGCATCCATTCTGATGGTTCTTGGCATTACTGTATGAGAAATTGCAGGCATTGAGTGTGGGCTGCACACGTTTGATAAGATGATGCAGGGGTGATAGCTGGAGATGGTGGTGGGTCCAATTCTGACTCAACCTCTTCAACTGGGTCTCAGTCCTTCCCCTCTAATGCCACATATATTAGTTTTTGAGACCCAGGCTGGCCTCATATTCACTAGCAGAGGATGACCTTGAACTTCTGATCCCACTTTCAACCCTCACATTCTGCAAAAATGACAGACAGGTACCACCACACCTACTAAATTGTCTTGAGTATGTCACACTGAATTTTGGGTGTAGGCCAACAGCTATCACAGAGTGTAAAAAGTTGGCAGATTTAGAGGGTGGACATTTTAACAGAGATTTGCTTTGCTTTTCAGAGGTCCTGGGAACACCCCGAAGATGGAAGCCCTGTGTTGGCATAGGAGTAGCTTCTGGCATTCAAAGAACAATGCCTTGATGTCCTCTCACTGATGAACTACTTCACAGGTGACCTTGTTTCAAGGCAAGGGGCCTCTCCAAAAACCAGGGCCCCTGGAGGACACCTCAGTGCATCCGCCCTCCCACCCTGAGCAGCTCTGGTACACACTGTCCAGAGGGATCAAGTAGGTCAGATGTCACCTCTGGGACTGCTTTGAACTAGAAAACCATGTCTCAGCTCCGGCTGACTAGGTTAAACTGCCATACCTTATTTCTGGAGGCTACTTCATGGTATCTTCCTGTTTTTTTTTTTTTTTTTTTTTTTTTTTTTTTTTTTTTTTAGGCTGGCCTCGAACTCACAGAGATCCGTCTGCCTCTGCCTCCCGAGTGCTAGGATTAAAGGTGTGCACCACCAACGCCCGGTTATCTTCCTGTTTTTAAAATAAGTCATTCAGGGCACTGGGTGGAGTGGACAACTCAGCAATTAAGATCACTGGCTGCTCCCCGAAAGGACCAGGGTTCAATTTCCAGCACCCACATGGCAGCTCACAACTATCCGGTCTCAGGGGATCCGAGGGCATTGCACACATGTGGTGCACAGACATATACTGTGCATAGCCATGTACAGGCAAAGTACTCATATACATAAAATATAATCAGGAAAGCAAGAATTACCACCAAACTAACACAAACACTGAGAGTGCAATTTGTTTGACATTATCCAGCCCATTCTTTGAAACACTGAGATAGGGAACTCAACCTTCCACGCCAGGCCCTTCCTTAGGAGCAAGGACTAGTGTAGCTGAAACACCTAGTGTGTACTGTGCATTTTGTTCAAGTGAGTTTCCCCTGCCAGTGTCAAAGGAGGAGGACATCACTGTAGACCTGGCTCTGGGTAGTGTGGAATCTCACTGGATCCCTGGGGGACAGGCTCAACGCTGAGAGATGGAAGCCTCAGATGTGGTTAATCGTAGGCTGTTACTTCTCTCTTCCAAATTCCACCACTGAACAGAGGCAGCGTTTCTATACAGTGCATACCGAGCAAGCCCAGCAGTGATTCCAGTTCTTTCTCAGAGTCCTCCACCCCAGCATTGAATGCACCCCATCAGTGTGGCCAGCTGGAGGAAGGCAGAGCCCTGCCTGAGCCCCAGAACTGTGAAATGAGCAAGAAGCATGATGGTGGCCCTGTCACTCCTGGCCAAGCCCCACACTGGTTTGCTTGGATATCTTTCAGTTCATCCTCCTTAGCTCCTGGGACAAAGTGTGGAGAACACAGCTGTGAGGGACCACAGTCCTGGAACTTGGGAGTCCCTTTTGGAGATCAGTGCTTTTGCCCATAGGAAAGGTTTCCACACTCCTTTCCTGGGTTGGCAGCTGTCCTGGGTTGCCCACTCCAGGAGCTGAAGCCACCCCCCCACCCCCGACCCATGAATGCAGCACAGCTGGAGACAACAGGTAGGCTGAGTACTGATTTAAAAACCAAAGCAAACCAAGATTTATTGGAAACAACAATCTTTCAGTAGGACAACTCAGCTGAAATGCCACTGTTCAGAAGATAACAGGGATGAAAACCTCAGCAGTAGAAACCCCCTGAAACAGCTGCACCTATAGAAGACTGAAATAACAAGACTAACAGGGAGAGCCGTGCACTCACGCCTGTAGGGAGCACAGGACCTGTGCTCTTTGTATAGCCTCCCTGTGCTCTACTGGTAAGTCCTTCAGGACAATGCTCCAAGCAGTCTACAGATCTGGTGGGACCATGAACCACAGACAGCTCATAGTCACCTGCACCAGGCACACAAAGCCCTCGACTAGGCCTGTGTTCCCTATCCAAATGACTAGAGGTATGCAGCAAGACACCGGAGCTGTCAAACCAACACGAGGTCTTTGATAAACAGAGATAGACAGAAAGCACCACTCCCCGTGTCAACAGCTGAAACTCTACATCCAGCACCCCCAGGGTGAGGGAAGAGGACAGATGTGCGTGTTCTGTGGTCACACTCCACAGTTCCTGCTGCCACCTGTGCTGCTCGGCCATCTTCTCATTTACCAGTCCGTATGCTGCTGCAGATCTGGGCAAGGCGGTTCTAAAGGAAGAGAGAGGTTATTTCAAGACATGCCTGACACTCCAGCCAGTCAGCTCTTGGTCTACTGAAGCACAGGATCACTTTTTTTTTTTTTTTTTTTTTTTTGGTTTTTCGAGACATGGTTTCTCTGTGCAACTTTGGAGGCTGTCCTGGAACTAGCTCTTGTAGACCAGCCTGTCTCGAACTCAAGAGATCCGCCTGCCTCTGCCTCACGAGTGCCGGGATTAAAGGCGTGCGCCACCACCACCCAGCTACAGGATTGCTTTTAAAGGCTGATTTATTTTTATTTTATGTGTGTCAATGTGTCTAGTGTTTAAGGAGGCCAGAAGAGGGCACTGGGTCCCCAGGAACTAGCATTACAAGTGCTGTGACCTGCCATGTGTGCTGACAGCCATACCTAGGTCCTTTGCAAAAGCAAGCAGTCCTGATCACAGAGCCGGCTCTCCAGTTTCCCGGGCTTAGATCTGAGTGACTCTTCCTTCTGTTCTTTATTTGTATTGGAAACTAATCAGAGACTAATTAGAGACTCATCTCTTAAGTGAGACACCGATGCTGGGAGATGAGTGCCAGTGTCTATGAGACCTTAGTGCTTATTTAGGATTCCAGCTCAAGCTTGCCTATTCCTGATGTACATAGAGTGGGCCTCCAGCAGCTATGTCTGTACCCTAAGCTCCTGCTCACACCAAAGCACGGCTGACTGGGCTGTAGGTTGGCTATTCCTCTTGAGAATTTAAACTAAGAAAAGGGAATAGTGTTGACAGTGGAACACTAAAGAGTTGGGCAGCACTCTGCAAAGCCCCACAAAGGCCAGTGTCAAGGGCAAGCTCCTCCACGTGGAGATGAACTCAGGACTCACCGAGAGTTTCTTAATGTTTCCTAGGGTCTCTGGATTCAGCTGAGCAATATCAAACCTCTGCAAGTCACTGGCCAATAGCCGCAAGCTCTGTATGGAAGGAGAAAGGGTTAAATGACATGTTCTTCCAGATTGGAACTGCTACCAGCAGCCAGTGTACCCAGGGTCCCCTTGATATTCTGCATGTGGTGACATAAGACAGCTAGGATGGAGAAATGATAATGTAGGCAGTATGTTAGACCTCAGGAAACAATGCTATCAGTGGACCACTGGTTGGGTTACACAAGTACAATGCCAAACAGACCAAATCTGTGGTCAGTCCCCCTCCCCTCATACAGGCTGGTAACCCGCTCTCTGCATCACTGAGGAGCCAGGCCAGCCTGTTCCAGAATCTCAAGACCCCAACTGTGCCTTCCTCTGTGCTCGTCTAATAGCCACCACTGTAACACCACAGACGGTAGGTAGCATTCCAAACCTGCTGTACCAACTGAGCCGCTCCTCAAGACAGCCGAGGAACAGATGGAACCCAGGGTTGGGCATGGGTTCTCCCAGCTGGGCCTCGACTCTGGCAGTGTGGTGACTAGGGTCCACTCACTGAAGGGACTCTTCAGAGTCTCTGGAGCAGGTGTGGGGACAACTCAGGGGAAAGAACACTGCAGCATTCTGGGGCCTGGCTTCCCAGGGTGCCACTTACCGCACCACCACCCACAGGCACAGTGAGGGAGATCTCTTTGCTGTCAGCAAGGGGGCTGCCATTGATCGAGACGTTGTAAATCTGCTCTCTGGCTGCTGGAGTGCGCAGGCCTGGGGTCTTGAAAACCCTACAAGTTGAAGAACTCTGTGAAGATGGCCTGGCAGACTGAATAATGACACTAACAATGAGCCCTTCCAACCCCATCTGGTCTCAAGCTGCAGTTTTCAAATCACATGTTTCTACGAAGGCAAATTCTAAATTTAGGGAAAACATTTTTCAAGCTGTAATGACTAAACACAGCTGGAGAAAGGAGGCTGCAATTATCAAACATACATCCAGCAAAAGTCAGCTCGTACCCATGTAAACTGAAGGCCAAAGCTCCGTATGGGTGGCTGCCCATCACCCACCCATCCACAGAACCAGAAACACACTGGCTCCTGTGCTTCCAAGTGTTTCTATCCCAAGGAACTCTTCAGGGTCAAAGGATGGTGATTCTGAGACAGGACACTTATCCCTGAGACATCCTTCTCTACACAGAACTCTGCTATGTATTTCTTCCAAAATGGCATTAAGTAGATGTCACTGGAACCAGTGGAATACAAATCAAAACAAAAAGTTGCCAGGCGGTGGTAGCACACACCTTTAATCTCAGCATTCAGGAGGCTGAGGTAGGTGGATCTCTGAGAGTTTGAGGCCAGCCTGGTCTACAGAGCAAGTTCCAGGTCAGCCAGGAATGTTACACAGAGAAACCCTATCTTGAAAAACCAAAAATAAATAAATAATAAAAAAGTGGAAAGTCTCCCTCATCTGAGATAACCACTTCTTGTTCTACTCCTTAGAAGTTACTGGCCTTAATCCCTTGTTTTTCTATATGTACAAAAGCAATAGGAACATATGGTACACCTGGAGGCAGCCTGGGAGAACTGGACACACACCATTCTCTATTGGCTTCTGCTATCAATAGTCTTGTCATGTTGGCTTCAGGAAAGGTGCTATCAATTTTCTTCTTCCCAAGGGTATAGCAATAAGCACCTACTCAGCTTCCAATATCATCTGACTAGAATCAGAGAAGGCTAAAAGCACAGGTCTTCTAGTCATCACAACGCTCTCTCCTTCTTGTCAGGTAAGGAATTGAAAGCCGTGTCAGGGGAGGGCCAATGGTGGGAAGCTCAGCCCAAAGATTCAGGAGCATCACCTATATTCTCAGTGCTGTTCACAGCTAGACTCTACCCAATCCAAGGGCTTCTCTTGGTACTCACCTGGAATCAAACCTAGGTGTCACGCCTGGGGTTGGTTTCACCATAGACGGCTCCAGCCTGCTCACAGCTGGTGTCACAAAATCATGGCTTAACCTGCAGATAAGAAACAGCCATGAGGGGTGTCAAGTCACAGGTGCAAGGATGGCAGCAGCCACAGCAGCAAATGCTGCCCTGCACTCATCTTTTGTGGAACCCTCTGTGTTGCTTGGGACGGGTGCACTATTTGTATCCATTTATAGCTACAGATACTCATCACAGTAAAGAACTTCCCCAGATCACACAGTAGAGAAGAGCAGACAGGCTGAAGAACCTGGCAGCCTGTGGGGCAACATGGGACTTCTCAGCCAGGTGGAAGAGTCTGTGGACCACAAAAGTAACTGGTCCTCTCTAGGCAGCTGGCTAATGTCTTTGTCAGGACATGGCCTGCCCTCCTTTAGAGACAGGCAGTCCCGTGCCCAATCCCTTAAGTTGTTTCCCCTCCTCACAAAGAGTTTACAGTGGAGGCCACATGACCCATTTCAGCCCATGGAGATTCTTAACTAAGCAGGACCAGGACGACATTTAAGAAACTAATTATGGAGCGGGAGAGGTGGCTCTATGGTTAAGAGCACTTCCTGCTGTTCCAGAGGACCCAAATTCCCAGTGCCCACATCAGGTGGCTCCAGCTGCTATTCCTCATTCCCCAGAGCTCTCTCTGCTTCTATTTCTGCCAAGCTGAATGGAGTTCTCCAACAAAAACAACAGGACACCATCACCTTTTGCTCCTGCTTCTTCCTTGTATGGACTGGGTTCTCTTCTTGGATGGAGGGCATCTTTTGACCTAAAGGCACAATCAAACAAACCTGAAGTCACACAGAGCCTAGCAAAAAAAGCTAAAAACAGAGGGGAAGGAGAACTGGCTTTTGAAAAGAAAAGTAAAAACTCAATATAGGAAGGTTCATCGAAGTTAAACACAGTGGCCCATGTTGGTAATCCCAGCATCTGCAAAGCTAAGGCAGAAAGACAGTAAGTTCAAAGCCACCAAAAGCCAGACCAAACTCACAAGGGCCACTGTAGAGAATTTAGTGGTTAAAATATTGCCAAACTTGAGGACTTTGAAATAGAAGATATGGGCCAAGATAAAGGGAAATCCTGTGTGTAAATGTGGATGCTGGGTGTTTCCCTCTAGTGCTCCTCCCCTTAGTGTTTGAGACAGGCTCTCTTGCTGAACTTGGAGCTCCCTGATTGGCTAGTTAGGTTAGCTTGTTTCCACTACTTTCCTTAAAGTACCACTATGGTGGTGGTTTCTCAGGGCATCCCAGGTGCCTGAGCCAGGGACTCCTCTGCAGTCCTCACCTTGCTGAGTCCTGGGAATGCCTGACAAGAATCCCATTCTCTCCTTGTTCTCACTTCTGACCCCACTGTTCTTCTTCTTGGCCATCGGTGGGAGTTTTCCCCAGGACCTCAATTTCTACCTCCCCTCTAGTACACATGGGTAGCTCTCCCCTCTGCTTGCTCTCCAGCACAGGCTTCCCACCTAGCCTAGAATCCTGAAAAGTACTTAACTCAGCAGGGCAAGCAATTAGCAGGTGCTCCCTGGAAACTTAACCAGCGGCTCTGCCTTTTCAGGGGTCCTACAGTCACTGGGATGGCAGCTATCTAGTCTAGGCCAACCAAGCTCCCCTTTTCTTGTTAACACTCAGCCCAAAAATCATCCCTACTTTTTTTTTTTTTTAAATAGGCATTTACTTCAGACTATCAAGACTATGTTCCTTGCCTTCCCTTTTTCCCCTCTTCCATTTATTCTGAATAGTTTGAAATATTGACAGCACTTACTAGTGCCTAGCTGACAGAATGGAAACTCAAGCTTGGTAAGTTGGGATTTCCATTATCTGGTCTCTACTTTTCTCCATTACTCTCACAGCTTCTATTCCAGCTATACCAAACCACTTCCTGCTCCTCACAAAGACTTTCCTTGCCTGTCCCAGTGAAGCTTGATCTGAAAGGATTGGCTGGGTGTATCCTTAAGCTTCCTCCTTTTCCTGATCCACACACTTTACACCTATGTCTACAGTGACATGTTATTTGACACACAAAGTGTTCCGTCTGTGAACTCTGCCAGTAACACTGTATTCCACATTTTAAAAAATCAATTTATTTGTACAGTGCTGTGCCTGCATGTATGAATGTGTGCTACCAGTGTGCCTGGGGGCTGTGGAGGACAGAAGGTGTCAGATCCCTTGAAACTGGGGTTTCACACAGCAGTGAGCCACCACAGGCACTAGGAATTGAACCAGGGTTCTCTGCAAGAGCAGCCAGTACACTAAACTGCCACACCATCTCCCCAGCCTCACCCCACATCTTTCTGTACTTGTTTAACCTGTCAGCATTTATCCTTAACTTGAATTCCTACTTACTCTAGTAGATCGAAGATTCTTAGGATTCTTTTCTTCTTCTTCCTCCTCCATTATCACTTCATCCACCTGGACCACCTTCCGCTCTGTAACAAACAGTTTTAAGGGTTACTTCTGTTGGAACCTGTCTGCCTCAGAGGAGTCCATAGCACTGCCTTAAGAGCCCCTTCATTGCCGTTGGTGGCGCACGCCTTTAATCCCAACCCTCGGGAGGCAGAGGTAGGCGGATCTCTGTGAGTTTGAGACCAGCCTGGTCTGCAAGAGCTAGTTCCAGGACAGTCTCCAAAGCCACAGAGAAACCCTGTCTCGAAGAAAAAAGAAAAAGAGAGCCTCTTCATTATGAGAATTTGTTATTTCTGCTGGAATCATTCATTTAACACATCTTTGTATTCCCTGTTCCTCCTAAAATAATTATAATTGTATTTGCAAATAGCAATGTAATAACTAGTAGTTTTTGTTTCTTTTTTTGGGGTGTGTGTGTGTGTGTGTGTGTGGTGGGTGTCTCCGAGACAGGGTTTCTATGTAGCCTTGGCTGTATTCACTCTGTAGATCAGGCTGGCCTCAAACTGAGATCCCACCTGTCTCTGACTCCCGAGTGCTGGAATTAAAGGCATGTGCCGACACCACCTGGCTATATCTAGTAGTTATTAAAACTTGTGTTTTGCCAGGCACACGCCTTTAATCCCAGCACTCAGGAGGCAGAGGCAGTCGGATCTATGTGAGTTCAAGGCCAGCCTAGTCTACAGAGCTAGTGCCAGGACAGCTCCAAAGCTACAGAGAAACCCTGTCAAAAAAAAAAAAAAAAAAAAAAAAAACAATAACAACAACAAAAAACAGAACAAAACAAATTATCACCAATAAAAATTTTGCTAAGTAAATACAAGCTAGGCGCTAGAAAATCCTGAGCAGGGGTTACATAGAGAAAATTCAGGTATTTAGTCATGGTGGTGGGGAAAACCAGACTAAACCACTGTAGCCTTTTTTACTGGCCATGACCTTGACACATAAAATATTTGTGTGTGTGTGTTTTCTGAGACAGGGTCTCAGGCAGCCTAGGCTGGCCTCATACTCATTCTGTAGCTGAGGCTGAGCTTGAGCTACTGATACTCCTGCCTCCACTTCCCAAGTACTGGGATGATAGGTGTGTGCCACCACCAGTGCTTCTCTTCTTTGTCTTTTCTTCCCCCCCTCCATCCCCTCCTTCCTCCCTCCCTCCCCCCCCCCCCCCCCTCCCCCCCCCCCCCCCCCCCCCTCTCTCTCTCTCCCTCTCTCTCTCTGTGAAGCTGAGAGGTCAAAGGATTAAAGAACACTTGTTAACTGCTGGCTGATGATGGGCCTGGTGTGTTCAGTTCCACCTGCTAAACATCAAGTAAGCCAAACTTAGGGGAAAGAAAAAGTGGTATTATCTAAACACAGAAATGACAGTGAAGGATGGACCATGGTGGTGCACATCTTTAACCCCAGCCCTCAGGAGGCAGGGGCAGGCAGATCTCTGCCAGTTCAAGTCTAGCCTGGTTTACATATAGTTATAGGATAGCCAGGGCTGTGTAGACATGCCCTGTCTTAAAACAAAACAAAATGCCCAAACCAACCAATCAATAAAAGATACAGAGTGACCTAATAGACTGAATGTGGGGCCAGGCACTCTAGGCCAATTTCATCCTGTATGCAGGGGACAAACACCTCATGCTTTCTTTACTCTCCAAGGCAGGTGTGATAGAAGCTGTCACCATTAGCAATGGTTCTGCTTCAGGTGAGTGTCAAATGCCCCGTGGAGAGCAGCCTGCACATCCAGGCCATGGTAAGGTTTGCCCCTCACCAGGATGGGATGCGTCAAGCTGCCACCAAGCCATGACAGTGGCATGTATCCAGTTCTTTTTATAAAAAAAGGTCTATTCCTTAATTCACCCAATCTGATCCCATGTTCATTAGTTATTGCCTGGTTTCCCAAAGAACTGCTTCTGAGTTGGCAAGATGGCTCAGGTCATGAGTCACCAAGCCTAATGACCTGAGTTCAGTCCCTTGGATCCATACCTCTAGTAGAAGAGAAGAGAATCAATTACTTTAAATTGTCCTACAAGTACACACCACCCCATTCCCAGACAGATGGGCTGGTTTTGCTTCCTTCCTTCCTTTCTTTTTTGGTTTGTTTGTTTTTTAAGACAGTGTTTTTCTGTGTAACCCTGACTGTCCTGGAACTCTTTATGTATAGACTTTGAACTCAAGAGATCCACCTGATTCTGCCTCTGCCTCCGGAGTGCTGAGATTAAAAGCATTTGCCACCACCTTCCACAGATCAGGTTTTATACTTGGCAGAGAGAGGCACACTAATGAAGCCTTGTCTAAGTAGTCAGCAAAGCTCCCTGGACCTCAACTCTCTGTTCTACAAGGGGCTTTGAAATGTATTCACACCAGGCATGCTGGCACATGTCTCTAACTCCAGCACTGAGGTAAGAGGATAGCCAGTTCCAGGCTCTCTTGTGTTGCAAACTGAAAGTCCCATTCAAACCACTAAAGGTCTGGGGATATGGATCAGTGGATAACGTGCTTGACATACAAGCAAGCATGAGGAATGGAGTTCAGACACCTAAAACCTAGGGAAAAGCCCCATCTGTAATCCCAACCCTCAGGGGGTGGAGAAAGGGCATGTGGCAAGCTGGCTAGCTAGACTGGCTGAAGAGGCAAGATCTGAGTTCAGCAAGAGACCCTGTGTCAATAAAGTGACATAAACACCCAATGTCAGCCTTTGCCTCCACACATACATACCATAAACATACATATACAAAATTATATAAAAGAAAAGTACTCACTTTTGACAGATTTCAAAGGTGTCTGAATAGCTTCAGCTGTTAACTTGTTTATTTCTGTGATGTCTACATCAGCCTGTGACAAAGCCAGAAAGCAGCAGGCTTAGTCCAGTGTGTACAGGAAACAGTAAATTAAGGTACAAACTAATTATAAACCCACCCTCACAACTCAAGACCTAAGACCTTGCCAATAACTTGCTTCTGGCTGTAAGTTCTTTCCTTGTGCTGTTTGGTTGTCTCTCCTGTCATTCCTCAGAGGCAAGCCATGATTACTTCATTAATTTTTTTTTGTTTTTTGGGGTGGGGGAGTTTTCAAGACAGGGTTTCTCTGTGGCTTTGGAGGCTGTCCTGAAACTAGCTCTTGTAGACCAGGCTAGTTCCAAACTCAGAGAGATTCCCCCTGGCTCTGCCTCCGGAGTGCTGGGATTAAAGGCCTGAGCCACCACTGCCCAGCTTACTTCATTAATTTAAAGGGAGTTTATGGATTTGGTTGTAGCCACATATATATGTATGTGTGTATACATGCACACACACACACACACACACTTTTTCAGTTGTTCTTGCATATTGGTATTGTTGGTTTGTTTGAGACAGGGTCTTCCTACACAGCCAAAAGGAGACTGGATTTGAAGTTAGGCCTTTCTTCATGGGACTTCACGGAAGTCCGACAAAGCATGACTGACACAGGATTGTTAGATGGACTGGTAAAATTCTGAGGCTGTCTACATTCAGCAAGAAACAGTTCTAACAGATTAGTGATGTCTACCAAGCTAATAAAAAGAAAGTGGGGCATTTCTGCCAACTTTGTACCATCTCTAGTAATGACTGGCATGCTGGCAGGCTTTGAACTCACTATTAGTGGCAGGCCATGGACACAGTGCAAGAGTTAACACTGCAGCCTGACTGTGAAGTTGGACCTTGGGTGGCTTCTGAGAATGAGGATTTCAGGATTCCTTACCCAGCTAACAATAGCTCTCTGTTCTTTCCTTAAACTTAGTGCAAATAAACATAGTTTAGGCAGCAGATGCCCAAGTGACTAGTCCTCATAAAAATCAATATGGAGTCTTGAGTGAGCTTTTCTGCTAAGGAAACAGTACACATATATTGAATTAAACTTGCCTTGCAACTCCACTGGAAGGGGACTCCTGGAAGTTTATACCTGGCTTCCTCTGGTTTGGTTTTGTTAAGACAGGGTCACTCTTATGTAGCCCTGACTGTCCTAGAATTCACTATGTAGACAGGCTGGCCCCACAGGAATCTACCCACCAATGCTTGGATTAAAAGCATGTACCACTATGCCTAGCTGCTTGGCTTCCTCTGAACTTGAGCTCATTCTGCTTTGTATTCTGTGATAAGTCATTGCCACTGTATAACTATATGCTGAGTCCTGTGCATCTTCTTAGGGAATCACCAAACCTATACCTGCAGTGTTTGAGAGGCTGAGGCAGGAGGATCAACATGTTTAAGTAAGTCTGGCCGCACAGTGGTCTTGAGAGCCCCAATAAACCTAGTTAGGATCTTTGGGGCCAAAGTATCATTTCATCCTCGGATTTCAAATCAAAGCTAAATTGGAACTCTTTCAATTTGGTGTATAATACTGGATCTCCCACATTGCATCAGAAGGTTTATTTGCAGTTCCAAATATATGACTAATTAAAAATGAGAGAGACATATTAGCTAATGAGCAAGATTCAGCTAGAATGTTTTGAAACATTAATCTGGGTCTCTGCAGGGGGATGAGTCATGCGAACGTATTTTAATGAGAGAGCATGGACTAAGACTGCTGTACTGGCTTCTGGTTTGCTTTGTGTGTTTCCACCCTTCTACAGCACATATCCCTGAATACTTCAACAGCTGGCTCCTAATTAACTTCTGAAGCTGATGGAAACCTGCTACTCAGTGAGGCTGTGAACCCTCAAGTCACTGTATCCTTTCAATCCAAGACTCCAATTTTGATGAACTCACACAGACTATGGTACACTTTCCCCCCAAGAAAATAGGCATGTGTACACACTGCTTCTGCATGGTTTTATCATGCCTAGACTCTGTGAAGGCCAGTGCTGCACCAGTTCCCAATTCTGTTCAATAGTTCTTTCTGAAAGGACACAAACAAATCTCCCTCTGTGCTGTCCAACATGGTGGCTGCTGGCCATCACAGATATGGCTGGTGTCTGAAGAAATAAATCCTTCCTTTTTTGCCTCACACCTTGCTGCCTTCAGTCTTGGGGGTGATGCTAGGAAATGTACGGAAAGGGTTACAGTGTGCTAAGTCTATGAGTTTTCAACAATGTGGCATGATAAGAACAATCTCTGTTTCTCAGTCTCCTAGGCTAGGTCACAGCATAATAAAACTTCATTTTTTTTTCCCCCATGGGACAGGGTTTCTCTGTGTAGCCTAGCCCTGGCTGTCCTGGAACTCACTCTGTCAACCAGGCTAACCTCAAACTGCCACATCTGCCTGCCTCTGCCTCCCAAATCCTTGGATTGAGGGTGTGCACCACCATGCTCGGCTGAGCCTAAAAGAGCTAAAGAAACTTAGGTTCTAAGGCTCTCCACTTCTACAAACTTCAGGATGAAGGACTACAAAGAAGCTGTCAAAATGGATCAGATTCCCTCTGATGATTTAGGATCGAAAATCCACCCTCTGCTATGATACTCTGCACAATATGGAATGTGTCTGTGATCAACTGTGTGGGCCTTCCCCTAAACCAAGCCAGGATTCTAGGATGGACACTATTAATTCAACCCTGATACTGTCTATCTGAGAATATCATCAGAACCGGGGAAACTTCCCCTACTACCCACCTAACAGCCCTAAATTACCCTACCTATGACTACAGATGGGGGTCCCTACAACTGTGCACACCTGGAGCTGCTCTCTCAAACACAGAAACAGTTCACTATGTGTACTTATGTGTATGTGCATGTGCTCTTATCCCACCAGAGGACAACTTGGATCTACTCTCTCCTACCATGTGGGCTTTGGGTGTCTAACCCAGGCTGTCATTGTGCCAGCCCTACATTTGGCAGTTTATGATAAAAATTATTACAAAGGGTACAGAGAAAGAGATTGTGGGGGAGTAAAAAGTCCCCTCCCACATATACTTCTCTGGCACATTTTGAGTTGGTTACTCAGAACTGCAGACTTCTATGGGTGGACACAGGCTGCCTCTGAGAAGCCCTTATTTATTTATTTATTTATTTATTTATTTATTTATTTATTATTTTAGTTTTTCGAAACAGGGTTTCTCTGTGTAGCTTTGGAGCCTATCCTGGAGATACTCGCTCTGGAGACCAGGCTGGCCTCGAACCCAGAGAACCGCCTGCCTCTGCCTCCCGAGTGCTGGGATTAAAGGCGTGCCCCACCAACGCCCGGCGAGAAGCCCTTCTTTGGTGACAAACTCTATACCCTGCATTAGCAAACAGCAGAGGCAGGCGGAGCCTTTCACCCAGAGGTTCCCATTGCCTAAGAAACTCTTTGCAAGACTAACAATGCCTGGCCTGGCAAGAGGTTAGACACATGGTCTCCGTGGGATGTTTCCTTAACCTCTCAGAGTTTGCACTCCCTCTTTCCACCCAATGGTCTCAAGTCCCTGTTTTTAAGCCTCTACTTTAAACTGCGCCCCCCACCTGAACTTCACCTTGTTAGTTTGAGGATGTATGGAGGTACATAGGCATGACTGACTCATCATTATCATTGGCGATCAGTTTACATTTAGCTCTTCCTTCCACAGGAGGAGGTGCTCTGAGCCCCAATCCTCTGAGGGTATAGTTGAGTCTCCTGGTAAACAGGACCCCATCCAGTGTTGTCTCAGGACTTTCCATATGTCACTTCATTAACATAAACCCAGGCATGCGTCAAAGGTGCTTGTTATGCCTAGCAAAGGTCTCTCACCACTGTAACCATGGAGTTGCACAGGTTAAAAAGCCAAATATTCTGATATAAGATGGTGTTCTTTCTCTTGTCTTATGAAATTTGAAGGGGGCATGGAGAAGGGACTGGAGAGGTCGGCAGGAAGACCACAGTTCTAGGCCCGCTTGGGTGAGACTGTGTCAGGAAATCAAAAAGTAAATAAAATGGAATAGTGTTTGCATATAACATAAACATGTGCCATAATATATTTTCAACTCTCTCTAAACAAGTCAAGACACTTAACACCAGCTAAATACTATGTAAACAGTTGCTATCCTGTGGTGCTTAGAGAGTAAGTATGTATATATCCAGTGTGGATGTAATCTATTTTTTTCTGAATATTTTTGACCATGATTGGTTGCAAGATGAGGAACTCACAGATGAAGGGGACGGGGTGTCACATAGCACACTCCTTTTTAAGGGCTGAGATCTACTTGGATCATTTATGCTGTGTCCTGACACAATTATATTTTTTCATTTGACACAGATAATGCCCCCTGACAAATCATTTTTTAAAAGAGATATATTTATTTATTCATTTATTTATTATGTATACAGTATCTGTTGGCATGTATCCCTGCAGGTCAGAAGAGGGCACCAGATCTCATTATGGATGGTTGTGAGCCATCATGTGGTTGCTCGGAATTGAACTCAGGACCTTGGGAAGAGTAGTCTGCGCTCTTAACCTTTGAGCTATCTCTCCAGCCCAGCAAAACCTTTTCTACACACCCAATAGTTGGATTTTTTTTTTTTTAAAGATTTTATTTATTACGTATACAACATTCTGCTTCCATGTATATCTGCACACCAGAAGAGGGCACCAGATCTCATTATGGATGGTTGTGAGCCATCATGTGGTTGCTCGGAATTGAACTCAGGACCTCTGGAAGAGCAGTCAGTACTCTTAACCTCTGAGCCATCTCTCCAACTCCCCAATAGTTGGATTTTATGACAGAATTAGACTTACAAACTAACCAACTCAAAAGCAAGGTGGTTCACTTACCGTTGCTGCCTCTTCCAGGGCCTGTTTGTTCCCTCCAAGGGCTTTAAAAAGAAAACCATATTTAGTAACTATCAGGTCTGAATGAGGAATTGTCTTTCCCAGTACTATCAATTACCTTTCTCAAACTAGATCAATGAAACCTTGGGTCTAGCACTGCTTTTTACATTCTTCCAGTTTGACCCCTTCCTGTTGTAGCTAGTTATTCTACCTTCTATGTCCTCAAAGTTCTTGTTCCCCAAAAATGCAACTGTCCCATGACTCAGTGCTTTGATATTAAGTATTTCTCCTGCTTAGTACAATTCTCTGCACCCTACAAATTTCTACTCATTCTTTAAAATTCAGCTCAAACGCCACACTTTAACTGTTAATCTTTCTATTATAATAGACTGCTTCAAACTGTAAATACATATATACATAGTATAGCAAATTACTCAAAATCTACTAAAGCTATTTAGGTGTCTACTCCTGCTTGAACTGAATTCTAGAGGTAATATCCCTTGGTCCTGGTAAAAACCTAGCATAGTAAATGTGCAAACTAAGAAAAAGGACTTTGTTAGATCTAGATGTAGAATGAGAACTTAGGTTCCCTCCTTTTGTTAGAAATCCTCATGGAATCCTGTGTACACAGTTAAGATCTTGGGCCTTATAAACAGAATGCCTGGGGCTCAAATATGAGATCCCGAGTAATGTATCTCTCTCTGTCATAATCTTATCATTCTAAAATTGGTCCACTGTCTGGCATGGAAGCACAAACCTTTAATCCCAGAACTCGGGAGGCAGAGGCAGGTGGATCTCAAGACACTTTATCTAAGTAGAGGTCCAGGACAGCCAGGGCCACAAAGGAACCCTGTCTCAAGAACAAAAACAAAACTGGCCTACTATTATGATTAAGTTGTACTTACTGGCTATTACTTCCATCTTTTTTGTAGTATTTAAAATTCTAATTCTGCCAGGTTGTGGTGGTGCTTGCCTTTAATCCCAGCATTCGGGAGGCAGAGGCAAGCAGATCTCTTTGTGTTCAAGGCCAGCCTGGTCTACAGAGTGAGTTCTGTAGTTCTGGGACAGGCTTCAAATCTACACAGAGAAACTCTGTTCTCAAAGACCAAGAAAAAAAATTCTACTGCTATATGATTTTTTTCCCAAGACAGGGTTTCTCTGTGTAGACTTGGCTGTCCTGGAGCTTAATTTAGACCAGGTGTGTGCCACTATCACTCAGCTTCTATGTGAATTTTTAAACGACCCTTCTCCAATAACCTATAAGCTTCTAGTGTGGGAACAATATATGTTTTATCCCTTACTGCATCTTTAGTACCTAGCATAGGGACTGACACTCAACTTTGTAGAAATGAACACATGGATTAATGAGGCATGTCAGAAGAATCACAGCTCTTGTGAGCAAAACATGTACTTCCACCCAGGAAGACACACACCCTGGTAGCTATCAATGATGAGGAAAATGGAGAAAGCACCAGCCACCTAGTGGATGGGAGAGGAAGAAGCCCCCATGTTGTACCGGATGTCTAACAAGTGGTGGGAAATGGGTTGGGATTTTCCTCTGGTCAGAAAAATACTCCTGTCTTTGCAGTTCACATGTGACTTGCTTGCTTTTAAATTGGCAATTTCCATAAGAAAGAGCTATTTGAGGATACTGTTCTACTTGAGCTATGACAAAGCCCAATCATTTTATTCTTAATTTATTCATTTTCAAAAGTTTGAGTATACACAAGTATTTCCTGATGTGTGAAAACTGTGTGAAATTGACATTTCAGTGTGCCCAGAAATAAATTTCATCAGTTCCAGAAATCTAAAACATTTGTTACCTAAGCGTTTGCCTACCCCATGGGCTGGATGACAGTCCCAGGTAAGACTGGGCAGTAGGGTGGATTCAGACCACAGACCCCTCTCTTCCTCCTCTAAATAGGGATATACCTCCCCAACTCTCTCCTTGGACAGAGACATGACAAGAAAGAGAGAGTGATGTGCTGTGGCCTTGCAATTCTGTCCCTCCTCTGTAAAGCTGCAGGACAACTTTATATTCATTCCTAGCTCCTGTGTCCTTGCTTATTAGCACATAGGCTAGCATAACTCACCTCTCTCTCTCTCTCTCTCTCTCTCTCTCTCTCTCTCTCTCTCTCTCTCTGTCCACTTAACGCTCATCTGAGGGGTAATTCATGCCAGCTTCCTTTCTACGGGCCTGTCATTCTTCCACAAGTTACGACAAGCGGCAATTCCCCACGAGTGGTTATGCTAGTCCTCATTAAGATCGAGTCCCTACAAAAGCTTTTAAGATAAGCACTAGTCGGCTACCAGGAAAAACCGCTAGCGGCTCTTACCAAAGTAGTCAAGCCAATTCATCTCGCGCAGCGCCTTGGGGAGCCGAAGGATCTCGATGTTGTATAGGTTCTCCACCTCCTTGAGGAGGTTCTGTCTGTCGGACTCGATTTGATTGATTCGAATTTGCACTGCGGAGAGATCAAAGCCGACGGATCCAGTGTCAACAAGAGGGCGAAGCCATCGCACCCGCGCCCCAACCCGCCCGAAATTCTCGAAGGCCGCGGATCCGCCCCTTACCCTCGCGGTCGAAGTCCTTAAGGAAGGAGGCGAGCTTGCGGCTCCGCAGCGCGTTAGCTCTGGCGCCCCGGCTGCTGCCCTTCTTGGGAGCCATGGCGCCGGGGTGAAGGCTGCGTCGAACGAAGGACCGAGCAGCCGGCTCAGCGGCTGAGACGGGGAAAGAGGACGTGAGCGCTCACGGAGCAGCGGGGGTTCAGTCGTTGGAGTCTGGTACCCAGAAGTCTGCGGACGTGTCCCTGCAGGCGCCGAAACACAGACCCAGGAAACCTCGCAGCTCCAGCTGAGGGAGAGGTTGCGCCTCCGCTAACCGCCACCCAATTCAAACTCAACGGATACAGGTTGGCCAATAACAAGTCGCCGTCTTGGGACGGTTCTCTCACCGCCCAATCACAACAAAGCTTCTTCATCCCGCAACCAATCTCTATAGAGGACTTCAATGCCCAGAGGACATTGCGGCCTACGCTTTCTTTTCGCGACTCCAGAGTCGCGCTAAGTGGAACTAGACTGTAGGGTTTGCTTTTGAGCATGTGCAGAGAGTGCCAAGCGCAGTGTGGTTCTTGGTGTCCACTTAGCTTTGGCTACCCAGGATTTGAGTTTTCCTGCGGATTTAGGGACACGGCTGGCAGTCTCAGAGGAGATAAGACCCTGGCTCCAGAAGCAGGAGTTCGAGGAGAGACAGGCCCCAGGGACTCGCAGTCTAAAGCGGAAGGTTGCCCTGTCCTTTGGAAGCCTCTTTTGAAGACTTCTAGGACCCCCTTCCTGAGGTGAGAAGCAAGGGTCCTTCTGCAGAGAGAGCTGGTAAGAGGATCGCCAGAGCCTCCACTCTTGAAAGTCAGCGGTGACAAGACAGAGCCACAGCTTCACCCTGCCACCCTCAGCAGCGTGAGGCGTTCCCCTAAGCTTTTAGAGACTGCAGCCCAGTTGGTGGCTTTGAAGCTGCAAAGAATTCAGGGCTAGCCAGTTTAAGAAGCAGAGTTATGGGTGGGAGGGGGAGCTGTGGTTGGAATGTAAAATGAAATTAAAAAGTTAAAAACATGGAAAAAAGCAAAATCACACACACACACACACACACACACACACACACACACACGAGAGTAGGAATGTAACACTGTCTGGCCTGGAACTCTCTATGTAGACCAGGTTGCCTCTATCTCAGAGACCTGTCTGTCTCTTGACTCCTCAGTGCTGGAATAAAGGTGTATGCTACCACGCCCAGCCTAAAGTTACTATTAATTTTTTGTTTGTATTTTGAGACAAGGTTTCTCTGTATTGTTTTGGAGCCTGTCCTGGAACTCGCTCTGGAGACCAGACTGGCCTCGAACTCACAGAGATCGGCCTGCCTCTGTACCCTGAGTGCTGGGATTAAAGGCGTGTGCCACCAACGCCCTGCTTTTTTTTAAAAGTTATTTTTAATACAGGCTTAAGGACGAGGCTTAAGAGAGAGGCACCTAGACAGAAAATAAAAGACACTTGCAGGCTACTCAAAAAATTAAGTATGAAATAGCGAAGTGGGTGTGGGCTTCTCAGGGAGAGGCTGCAATTGATTGTCTTAACATTAACCATGTATAACTTTGTTGACTTTCAAGATATATCTCAAGAGGGTTTCTTAAAAAAAAAAAAACGTGGGGGCTGGAGAGATGGCTCAGAGGTTAAGCGAACTGACTGTTCTTCCAGAGGTCCTGAGTTCAATTCCCAGCAACCACATGGTGGCTCACAACCATCTATAATGAGATCTGGCACCCTCTTCTAACAAGCAGGCATAAACATAATAAATAAATAAATCTAAAAAAGTCCGAAAAACAAAAAAGCAAACCAACAACTTGTTATTACCTCTCTCTCTTCTTTTTATAAGTGAAGTGGTTTCTGAATTATAATCTAATAAAGTGAAACCAGGAGCTACTTTGGTTGTCAAGGGGTAGTACTCTGCTTTCTCTGTAAATGGGATTTCTGGTGAGATTTCTACAAGATTGAAGGTTTACATCTGGGAAGGGAGGAAGGCCTTCAGCAGTTGGTAATTGGACTGCTGGGAGTATTCTCACTTCTTTGTTGACCAGAGGCATCAACCTGCTTCCAGGATGAGGAGGGCCCGTTCTTTTTCACATCCCCCAAAGTCTTCCTACCTTTCTATATTGCCTTAGGACTATTTTAAGATCAAAAGCTGGCCTCATGAGGTCAGAAATGACTCGCCCTTGAACCAGGCCCTCCCCTTCTGGTACCCTGACTCTTGGTTTTGTCTTCCCAGAAGATGGCTCAAGACCAGCCTTTGCTGGCTGTGCAAGAGGTCCTGAGGAAGTGCTTCCCTGTGGTGCAGGAGCAGCAGGACTTGTGGCAAAGCACTCTTCAGGGCTGCTCGTCCCTCCTCTCCTCTCTCAGCAACCTGGCTGAGCAGCTGCAGGCTTCACAGAATCTGAGGTTTGAGGACGTGCCGGCCCTTCGTCCCTTCCCAGACTTACAGGAGCGGCTGAGGCGCAAGCAACTGGAGGCTGGCGACATTGTCCTGGACAAGCTAGCTGAGAGGCTGTAAGAGACTCTGTGGCCCGCTTTCTTGGTAGAAAGATCTTAAAGCTTCATGACATCCCATCCCCAATCAGGGTGGGCCTACAAAAGTTACAAAAGCAAGCTGGTCATTCGGGGGAGTAAGGTTGAAGGACTGTGAGTTTGAGGCCAGCCTGGGCTATGTTATAAGACCTTGTCTCAAAAACAAACATACAAACAAAATATCAGGTCGAGTGTGGTGGCGCATGTCTTTAAACTGAGGGTAGTCAGGAGGCAGAAGCAGGCAGGACTCAGAGAAACCCTGTCTCATAAAAAAAAAAACGAATGAAAAAAATAACCCCAAACCAACTAAATAAACAAAAGTAATTACAAAAGCAGAAAAGAAGGGGACTGGAGAAAATGTAGTTTTCTGTAGTTGTCTTTAGTATGCTGTAGGGTTGGTAAGTGCTAGAAATAAGGGCTTTGTGTATGTTACCTTATACACCTCTGGCTTAACCCTGTTCATACACCTGGAAGCACAAAAACGGAAAGTCAAATAGATGTCTGATCACATAGCCAGTGAGGGATAGAGTGGGGATTCTGAAGTGTGTTTACCACATTAGCTGTGGCTTTCTACCAGGCTTTGTTCTACACATAGGTGGATACATGTGTAACTGAAACAGCCCACCAAACAGTAACACAGGTGTTGCGCTGATACTTTGTTTACTGTTTGTTTTATTACTGTTCATCACAGTCTTTAAGCTAGACTCAAAACTTGGCAGGTTTTGGATTGTTTCCTGTTTTTACACAGTTGGACATTTTAGAGCCCCAATTCGGGGCTAGGGGATTCTTTGGCCTTTGGAAAGTTACAGCCCTTGTCTTGGTTCCTTAGAGTTATAATACCTAAGCAGCCAGTGGTGCATGCCTTTAATCCCAGCACCCTGACTGAAACCCTCCTCCAAAAAAAAAAAGAAAGAAAGAAAAAGAAGAAGAATACCTAGGCACTACCAAAATCACTTTTCCTTCTTCTTCTTCTTTTTTTTTTTTAACCCCAAGACAGGGTTTCTCTGTGTATCCGTGGCTGTCCTGGAATTCGCTCTGTAGACCAGGGTGGCCTCAAACTCACAGAGATGCACCTGCTTCTGCCTCCTGAGTGCTGGGGTTAAAGGCGTGCGCCGCCACCACCATCACGGGTACAAAAGCACTTTCTACACATCATCATTATTTCTCTTTCTCATTCACTGCTACACTGACTGTGTGTGCTGTGTGTGTGCTCCTGTTCTTGGGAGACACAGTGAGCAAAGGAGCCTTTATATAAGGATTAACTCACTTTCCCCAGCAGTCTGCACCCCATCTACGCTGTCATTCAAGAACTGGATTAAAAAAGGGTAGTCAAGATGGCTCAGTCCCCAGATGGTTCAATCTCCAGAACCCACAGAAAGATGGAAGGACAGAATGGACACCACAAAGTAGCCCCCTGACCTTCACACACAAGTGCTGTGGCATGTGTGCCCCTTCCCACCATATGTAATTAAAAAGAATTTGCAAAGTGGGACTGGGGTGTAGCTCAGTGGTAGACCGCTTCCCAGGAGTGTCTGAGGGTTTGAATGCCCTCTGAAACAAAACCTCCAAATGTCAGTAGTGGTGAAAGGAGCCTTACCTCCTCCCTTTTTTTGAGATACTGTCCAAAATTCCACTTTTCCCACAGAGCCACCCTCCTCAAGGTTCGAGACACCATCAGCAGCCATGTGGAGCGGGTGTTTCAGACCTACGAGCAGCATTCGGCTGCACTTGACATGGATGCTGTCCTGCAGCCCTCAGTTGTGAGCCCCTCTGTGGCTGACATGTTGGAGTGGCTGCAAGACATCGACAGACATTATCGAAGCTCATATCCTTGAGTGCATCCAGACTGCTCAGAGCTGCTCCAGCAGCCTTTGCTGGTTCACATCTCACAAGATCAGCAGGCTGTACAGTTTGCTGCAGTTCTCTTTAGAGCTCAAACTTGGGTTCTTCCTGCATTTGTTTGTGTATTTTAATAGTCACTCCTTACAGTTTAGCTGCTAGGCACTGCTGTGAGTGCTGAGAGGCAGGCATGAGAAGGGGAATGTGTGCTGTCAGATGTGGTGAGTGCTAAGAACAAAGCAGGGAGACAAGGTAGGAAGGGTGGGCTGTGGGTTTTTTTTTCTCGAGACAGGGTTTCTCTGTGTAGTCCTGGCTGTCCTGGCCTCTGTCTCCAGAGTGTCAGGGTTAAAGGTGTATACCACCACCACCCAGCTTGGGGTTGTGATTTTAATAGTGTCAAACAGGCACCCATGAGGCAGCGATGGGTATGACATTTGAGCAAAGTTTTGAAAGAGTGAAGGAATGAGCCATGTGGATATTTGGGAGAAGAATGGTCCAGGCAGAAGGTACATGGAGTGAAAAGGCCTGTGCGGGAGCATGCCTGGTATATTTTGGACATAGCCATGAGGTCTGTGTAATGAGGGCAGGGCATGAGGATAGTGACATGGGACCTTGGTTTTTTGAGAAGGATTTTTTGTTTGTTTGTTTGTTTTGTTTGTTTTGGTTTTTCGAGACAGGGTTTCTGTGTAGCTTTTGAGCCTATCCTGGCACTCGTTCTGGAGACCAGGCTGGCCTCGAACTCAGAGATCCACCTGCCTCTGCCTCCCAAATGCTGGGATTAAAGGCTTGCGCCACCAACGCCCAGCTGGGTTTTGGCTGTTCTTTTGAGATGAATGTTCTCAGAAGATTTTAAGCAGAATAGTGTGGCCAAGGCTTATGCTTAGCATTCATGAGGAGGTCAGAGGATAACTTAACAGAATGGGTTCTCTCCTTCCACCATATGGCTCCCATTTAGTTCATTGGATTTGGCAGCAAGCACCTTCACCCAGTGAACCATCTTGGCAGCCCCTGGCATGGATGCTTAATCCTGTATCCCCTCCTGACTTTCCTCTATCTCCAGATTCTCTCTCTGAGCTGTCTGTGGTTATGTACCACAGTCATCTTCATGAGGTCTAGGTCTAGTTGTGTTCAACCAGGAGTTGTCAGCTCTTCTGTTGCTGGTGGGGTAGGGCTCAGAATCCCTACCTTGTCCTCCACTGCTGCCTTTATACTGGCTGAAGCCACCTTTCAACTACTTTCTACTTTAGCCAACCGTGTCAGGACACTGGGAGGCTTGCAGTGCCAGTCCACTCCATGCTTCCTCTGCCCTGTGCCTTTGTTTCTCTGTTTCTTCCAGTGGTGTGTTCATCTGAACTGCCAGACTTTTGTTTTTGTGTTTGTTACCATTTTGATTTCTCTAAATAGTGCTGGGATTAAAGGCGTGGGCCTCTACAGCTGACTAGAACTGCCACTGAGTTGTTTTGTTTTGTTATTTTTTTAATAATGTATTTACTTTTATTTTATGTGCATTGGTGTTTTGCCTGCATGTATGTCTGTGTATTTTGCCGGCATGTATGTCTTAATAACCATGTATGTCTCAGATCTTGAAGTTACAGATAGCTGTTAGCTGCCATGTGGGTGCTGGGAACTTGTGTTCTCTGTTAGAGCAGTCGATGCTTTTAACCACTGAGCCATCACTCCAGTCCCCTGTCACTGAGTTTTATCTTTCAAGTCACTTTGCTCTTCTGTCTGGTCCACCCTCAGCCTGTGAGATCCGAGTCCCTTTCCTAGTAGCATCAAGTTGTACTGCGGTACTGGTGCTCATCATTCCTCTTGGCACTGGTGAACCCTGCCCACCTGGGAAGGTATATTGATGTCACTTTTAGCTTCCCAGATTTCCTTTTTTTGAACAGTCCTTAACTTCTGGGAAGGTACCTGAAGAGAAAATACCTCCTTTCCTCCATCCACTGGGGAGACTTGGCCAGCATCCAAGCACTGCCTAAGGCCTGGAACCAAATTTCAGAAGATGAGTGCCAAACCCTTGTGCCAGGTACTGGTTTCCATTAGTTCCCCATGCTGCCTCCCTATCCCTGTTGCTGCTTGCCTCTTTGGAGGTGTTAGAGACAACCCTGCTGTGCTTTGGGGCCTTAATAACCCTGTCTTGTACCCCTCTTCCTGTTCTAGATATCCTGGTGAGCGTCTCCTTCTTCCTGGAGGAGCCAGGATGCTGCACAGTGTCTGGAGATCAGGAGTCCCGCAGTTGAGTGCAGCCCTCAGCTTTCTAAGTGAACCTCAGCACCACAGCCTGATGGACTGAGACACCAGTTCCTATGGTAGAGGTCCCTAGCATGACTTCTTGCTAGGCCATGGCCAAGGATCCATGACCACTGCACCTGCGGCTCTGGGAGGTGGATGGGGTGGAGGAAACAGGAAAGGCAGCGCTGATAAGCGGTGTCCATCGCTATCAGTAGGCTTGAAGTGGCAAGGAAGGAAAGGACAGGAGGCAAAGGTCCACAGCTGCCTCCGCCTCTGCGTCAGCTGAAGCACTTTGGTTGACTCAGGTCTTGGTTATGTGTGTATCACTATCTTGAGTCCTTAGTGGTTTAAAGATAGGAGTGGGTCTAGGAGTGAAGGGCAGTAGCAGTGTGTGTGTTGCACACATGAAGCCCGATTCAATCCAAAAAAGGGACGGATTGAAGGAAAGGGAGCATTTAAAATGTTTATCCCTTCCCAGTAGGAATCAAGCCAATTTCCATTTCCAAAGCCAGCCACCAGGGGGAGATGGTGCAGCGTGAGCGGTTCTGAATGCTTTGTCCTGGAGAGGTCCCCTGTTGCTGTTAAAAGTAACTGAGGGGGGCTGGAGAGATGGCTCAGCAATTAAGAACACTGGCTGCTTTTGAGGACCCACATGGCAGCTCACAACTGTCTGTAACACCAGCTCCAGGGGATCTGACACCTTCACACCAATGCACATAAAAGAAATAAGTTAAATAAAGTTAAAAAAAAAAAAGTAACTTAGTGCTGGGAATATCAAACCCACCACTGGTGAGGCAAATACAGGTGAGCTCTGTGATTTTGAGATCATCCTGGTCTACATAGCCTCCAGACTAACCAAGACTACATACTGAGGTGCTGTCTCAAAAAAAAAAAAAAAAAAAAAAAGAAAAAAAAAAGAAAAAAAAAAAGAAAAAAAAAAGGAAAAAGAAAAGCGGGAAAGAAAGAAGTTAACTGAGAAGAGTGATACTACTACTCAGATCCAGGGTTGTGACCTCTCATTGGCTATATTCTTCTGGGTTTGGAGTGACTGCTCAGGTAGGCAAATATGCCAGCTGATTAGTTGGCATATGCCATTGATTGTTAGTTGTGATTGATTGTTTGACCTGGGGAGGGAGTCTCAACAAGGAATGTTGTAGATTTGGGTGGCCTGCAGGCAAGCCTGCAGAATTTTCTTAATTGTGGTGAAAAGAGCCATCCTGAATGTGGTGTCATTTCATGGCTGGGCCCTAGATGGAATGAGAGAGCAGGCTGAGCACTAGCAGACATGCATTAATCCATTGTTCTTTACCATGGGTGTCATGTGACCAGCTGCTCCAAGTGCTTGCAGCCTTGATGTTTCTGCAATGATGGACTGTACCCTCAAATTATGAGCCTAATAAACCCTTTCTCCCTTCAGTTGCACTTGTCTGTGTTTTAGGGTTCTCTAAAGGAACAGAACTGATAGAATACATACATATATATGGGGGGGAAGAGAGGGAGGGAGGGGGATATTGGAGTGAGAGGGAGGGCAGGCAAGCCTAATGCAAAAGCTTTCTTCTTCCATGTGCTTTTATGTGGTCCAGACTTGGGATGGGTCTTCCCACCTCAAATGATCCAGATTTAGGGTGGGTCTTCCCACCCCTAATGATCCAGTCAAGAAAATCCCTCACAGACATGCCCAGTTGCGTGGGTTTTGGGTTTTAGTTGATTCCAGCTGTGGTCAAGTTGACAGCCAAGATTGGCCATCATACACAGTAACAGGAAATAAGCTGAGAAGCAGCCTTGAGTCATTGATCAGAGCCATACTCACCCTCTGTGCAGTGGCCACTTGCCTTGGGATCCCAGCTGGTAGAAGTCAAGGCTGCCATGAACAGGACTTAATACAGAGGATGGATACATTTAAAAAGAAAGTGGCTTTGTTTAGTTTTGTTTGAAACAGATACTTAATGGTGTTTGGTAATAACTTACTTAAATAGAATTGTTCTTTTTTTCTTCACTCTTTTGTTTATTTGTTTTTTGTTTTTCCCACAGGGTTTCAGGGTTTCTCTGTAGCTTTGGAATCTGTCCTGGAACTCACTCTGTAGACCAGGCTGGCTTCAAATTCACAGAGATCCACCTGCTTCTGCCTCCTGAGTGCTTAGATTAAAGGCGTGCACCATCACAGCCTGGCTGTTTTCTTCACTCTTAGTTTTTCTACTAAAAATGCTATCTTTTCTCTTTTTTTCTTTTACTAAGAATGCATTTAAGTTCCTGATGCCTGTGGAGGCCAGAGGAGGGCTTTGGATCTCCTAGAACTAAAGCTATAGATGGTTGTAAGCTGCCATGTGGGTGCTGGGAACTGAACCTGAGTCTTCTGCTAGAACAGCAAGTGCCCTAAACCACTGAGACAGCTCTCCAGTCCCTAAAATGACAACCTTTTCATTATTTTGGATAAAATAAATATGATTTACTTGTTGAATAAGGTACACATAACCTAAAGTGTAAAATGTACACAGATATATTTAGTGAAAAATTTTCCCCCATCTGCCCACTTCTCTTCATTGCAGACAGCCATTGCTAAGTGCTCTGGTGTCTCTGGAATGGTGGGTATTCTCTGAAGTGGTCCCTGGTGACCCCACCTCTAATATTCATGGCCTTGTGTACTCCTTGCCTTTTGATGGGGGCCTCTCTGTAGCTCCGCTGCTAATGGGTAGAATAGTGAGAGTCACTTCTGGGAATAGACTATAAAGAGCACACTTCTGTCTTGGCTGCTGCCCCTTGCTCTGTCTTACATCTCCCACTTTTGGGGACGTCAGCCAAAACTTCGTATTTCCACCTAGTAGAGAGACATGGGAGAGTTCTGTGCTGGACAACACCATGTGAAGGAGCTTGGAAATGTCCTCCCTGCACTGGTTGAACCTTTAGACGGGTCCACAGCTCCACATGACAGCCTAGCCTCATAAGGACCTGAGCTAAAAATGCCAGCAGAGCTGTGCTTGGATTCCTGGCACATGCAAGTGGAAAAATTATTTAAATCATGTATGCTTAAGGGAACTTTCCTCCCACAGCAGCATATAGCTGACATAGGAAACAACAGTTTTGAGTTTTGTTTTTTTCATTGTTTTAGTGAATATAGTGACATATACCCACTTTTTTTTTTTTTTTCCCCCCGAGACAGGGTTTCTCTGTGTGTAGCTTTGGAGCCTATCCTGGCACTCGCTCTGGAGACCAGGCTGGCCTCGAACTCACAGAGATCTGCCTGCCTCTGCCTCCTGAGTGCTGGGATTAAAGACGTGTGCCACCAACGCCCGGCTACATATACCCACTTTTATATCTGTTTTTTTCCCACTGTACCTTGGAATTTGTTCTGTGTAAATATATAACTTCCTTAAAATATTTGAAACAGTTACAGAGTCTGGGAGATGGCTCAGTTGGTAAAGAGCCTCTGCTCAAGCATGAGAGCCTGAGATTGGATCCCTGGCATCCACATAAGAGCTAGGCATGGTGGCACACCTCAGTTTAGTGAATTAGTAAGTTCCAGGATCAGAGTGAAACCCTGTCTCAAAAAACAAGATGGAGAACAATAGAGGATGACATCTAACTAGATCTCTGGCCTCCTCAAGCACATGCATGGGCACACATCTAAATATACGTGCAAGAATGCCATTACATAGTTTGGTGTTGTATTCCCACAATTTATTGCTTTCCTCTTACTGATGGACATTCAGCCTGTTTCCAAAGTCAGCTTTCTCTGAGCTTCCATGTTTATTCATTATACTATTTGTTCCCCAATACTTTAGATGGGAAGCAAAGGGGAATTAAAGCCATGGCCTGGAACATGCTAAACAAGCACTCTGCCACTGAGCACCATCCCCAGTCCTGGAGTTTTTATTTAATCTTATGCCTTACGACAACAACAAAAATCTGTTAATGTTTTCCCTGGGATTATCAAATTTAAAGTAATTTGGGGAAAACCAAATTACTTTAGCCCCAGTAAAGCTCTTTGTTTGGGGGCACTACTGGGTGATGGAGTGAGTTCTTTAACATGTCTCTCAGTTGGTGACAACCTTCCCTGCAACTGTGAGCCATAGTCTAGTCCAGGAAAATAAAGAAAGTTGACTTTCCTGTCTCTACTCCATCCACATTCAGAAATTGACCTGAAGATAGTTTCAGGGCTGGAAATGGCTCCACGGGTAAAGTGCTGACCTGAGCTCTCATCCCCCTGGGCAGTCATATCTTTATAACCCCATCACTGGGAGGTGGAAACGAGGACATGAGCTATGGCCGGGCGATCCAGAGCCAATCGCTGAACTCCGGATTCAGTAGAGACTATCTCAAAACTGAAAGTGGAAAGCCCGGAGGTGGTGGTGCACACCTCTTATCCCAAGCACTCGGGAAGCAGAGGCAAGCCTGGTCTACAGCGCTAGTTCTAGAACACAGAGAAACCCCATCTAGAAAAACAAAACAAAATGGAGCCAGGTGTGGTGGTATATGCCTTTAATCTCTAATCCAGCACCCAGTCTGCTCTATGATTGGAGTTCCAGGGCTACATAAAAGAGACCCTGTCTCAAACAAACAAAACAAAATCTTAGTGGAGAGTGACCTGTTTTTCACATATGTATACATGCACCACATATACACATACACAAAGATTCTTACATGGCTGGAGGTGTGGCTCAGTGGCAAAGAGCATCTTAGCATGTTCGAGACTCATCCCCAACACTGAAAAACAAGGAAGACAATTCTGCACTCAGACAAAGTAAGTGTTGTCCCAAGCCTGGGCTCTCAGGAGAAACTCTGCCTGCCTGGGGCAGTACAAGCTTAATGATGCCTGCCGTGTTTGGCTCATCTGAGGAAGGAAGCCAGGTACTTTCCCAACCAGCCCAAGCACTGGGTCCTTCAGAGTTCCTTTTCCTTGTGAGGAGGGGGATTGCCACATAGTCATAGGAACAGCTTTGTGTTGGAAGGTCACAAAGTGTACTGCACAGCCTGTCACCTAGCCCTATGGTCAATTGGCACAATCACTAACTAGCCATGAGGTTTTGTCCAGTAATTTCCCCTCAGTTGCCCCATTTGCATAATAGAGAGGATGCCACGTCCTTGTGGGGTCATAAGGTTCATGTAAAAAAAGGATATGTAATCGGGCAGTAGTGGTGTTCAATTTTAATCCCAGCACTTGGGAAGCAGAGGCAGGCAGATCTCTGAGTTCAGGACCAGCCTGATCTACAAATCGAGTTCCAGGACAGCCAAAGCTACACAGAGAAACCCTGTCTTGAAAAACCAAAAAGAAAAAAGAAAGAAAGCAAAGACTATGTGACAGATTTGGGGACAGTTGTCAACACTTAAGGAATCAGAATGCCCTTGAGATTCCTTAATTACCTGCTCACTGAAAAGTTCCACCATGCTCTTTTTGTTTTTGTTTTGTTTTGAGACAGGATGTCTCTGTGTAGTTCTGACTGTCCTGGCACTAGCTCTGTAGACCAGGCTGGCCTTGAACTCACAAAGATCCTCCCTGCTGCAGACTCACGAGTGCTAGGATGAAAGGTGTGTGCCCCACTGCCTGGCTTGCTATGTTCCTTAGCATCATCACCCAGTTTGAGACAGGGTCTCCTATAGCCCAGTCTGACTTCAATCTCATTGCAATCCCCTTGCTGGAATTTACAGATTGCACTGCCACCTGCGGCTTATTTTACATTTTAAAATATGTTTCAAACTATTGCAAACACTGACAAAGGTACGCTCACATCCATTGGACAGATAAAGAGGCTGAGCTCTGGAAACAGTTTCCTAAGTCCCCGCTGGTGGACAAGGACACCGCAGCATTTACACAGGTTCTTGGCTCTGGCAAAAGGGTCTTTCCTACAGTCCATTGTCCCTTTTCTGTCACAGAGCATACCTAACACCAACAGAATGGGCCTGGCAGCAACAATGGCGTGTCCTGGCCCCTTCCAGGGCCACTCAGACCTTGCCAGCTACCCTCCCTTCTGATTCCATGGCCAAGAGGGTTGGAGTGGGTTCCAAAGCTGTCTGCCAGAGCCTTATATTTTTCCCTTTGTGCCAGAATCTGGGAGGAGAATGCCAGTTCTTCTTAAAGAATGATGGGATGACCCTTCTAGGCACTCACCCTTCCTCTTTATCATTCCTGGAAGGCTCCTTCTGAGTTTCTGCAAAGGGCAGAGGAAAGTAGTTTTCCTGAGCCTGGTGCTGGTGGAGTGAACTAGAGCCTCAAAGCCAGAGGCCTGGATCCACATGGGTGAGGATGGGGGGGCAGTGGCTTGCTCTGTGCATTCCCAACGATAACCTTCATTCTGTTGTATAGCCACCCCATCCCCACCCCCCACCTGAGACATGGTCTTACTATGTAGTAGTTCTGGCTGGCCTGGAACTCAATATGTAGACCCAGTTGGTCTCAAACTCACAGAGATACACCTGCCTCT